CACTGTGTGTGGGGTTAGTTTTATTCTTCTCGGGTGTCCTGAAGGTTAATGGAGTAGTGAGAGACAACTATATCTAAGGATATAACTTTTTTTAGGAAAAGGCGTTTACAAAGAATGAAAATTAGTACTGATAGCTATGTGTCTTTTTCAAGCAACGAGACCAATTGCAATTTAGTGGAAAAAAAGTTCCACGCTGATGCTTTGGATAAATAAAATTGGTTTTCCCTTGAAAGAGTTACATGTTTAGATAAGGAAAGCTAGCAATATTTGAAACAAATGGGATCATACAAGGCATGTTTAGAAAATCTAATGTAACAAATGACGCTGAGGACTATTTATAAATGACTGTGATCCTTTATCTCCCATGATATGTTATTCAATATAGTGTTCATATCTGTGGGCCTGTGGGAAAAGTGTCACTTTCTTATCTGTGGAGGTTTATTTTATTGTATCAGTTATTTTTTATATATTTTTCATATGTGGGTGCTTGTTGTACTTTTGTCTTTCTATTTGATGTTTTGTATATACAAATTTGTTTATCAAACGGTGTTGTCTAACACAGATGATGTTTACTATTCTGATTATATTCTATTCATACAGTTAAAACGGTAAACACATTGTTTTTGAAAATGGATAACCAGAGAAACAGTTTTACAGTGATGCACTAATGGAGAACGTGCTACTTGTGTGAATTTTACTAATGTCATGAGGAACAACAAAAATCACACTTTGATTACAACAAATTATTTTGTCAAAGGCAGTAAATATCAATATAAATGAATATATAATGATTTTGTAGATATTTACTCGTGTGGGAGACTCGAAAAGAAAAGTAAAATTTCCAAAGCCTACATCTTACAGTGAAATACAAAGGTTGATCCTGTTGAACAGTATTTTTCTTCCAATATGTAAAAAAAAGACCAAGTATGAAAAAATTGTGAATACATTTGTAAACAACGAATGTCTCAGACTTGATGCATCTGTAATTGAACCTTTTTACATTCCTTTGTACTTGTCACTAAAAACAGGACCGTTTCCTTGAAAAAAAGGAACACAACCAATTATACCTCTTACAGAACAACACAACTTCCTCTAATTCTAGACCCGTGTCTTTGTTCCTCAGTTTTCAAAAATCTTGAAAAAAGTATTTGCATGTGAGTGGATAGCTTTTGACAAAAAGTTAATGTGTTAATTTAACATGGGTATGGCTTTAGTAAATTAACACTCAACTGCTGTGGGAAAATAATGGAACTGACAGAAATATGCGTTACATATGTTGTAAGTATTTACTAGTCCTGCAAAAGGCCTTGCTCATCCATGGATCTCTAGTTATCTAGAAAAATCTTAAACAGTTTGTCGCAGATACAAGTTAAAAAATAATAAATTACTCAATACGAATATTGTTTGTATGAGTGATTTCCAAAAGTATCAAAAATTGGGTGTCCTCACGATACGTGACCATTTGAAGCTGGAGCGAACGGGAGGAATAGAAACTCTGTAGTACAAGGTTACTTTTCTGGTTTCATAGAGAATCTCACGCGTATGGTTTCATTGCTTCCTTAAATAACAAATACCAAAATCACCGTAATGAAACAAATAACAGAAAAAAAACTATCGACGGCTATACACCACGGAGGAATTGGTACAGCGTTGCTACTCCCGATATTAGCCCACAACTTAACCTTTGCTGTAGAATAAAAACACCTTCTTGGGGTCCTAACAATTATGGTTATGAGATTAAAATATACTTACAAAGCCAAAAAGTTTGCCCAAGAGTCAACACATGAAACAAAGGATTTTTACAAAAAACAAACCAAACACGGCGCTTACTCTGCTCGGACAGGAAACTGCTGTTTTATAGGAGGAAGATGTCTTACTTTGTTTCCCCTTATATTTTAGCACAACAAACAAATATATCTATTATCACACTGGGTTGAAGAAGGCGCTGCGGGGCCCAAACACGCTGGTCCCTTCTCTGTTAAAGGACTTTTATCAGAGTGCCTCGGATTTCACCCCTATTTATGGTAACGAGTGTCAATTGTATATCTGAGAGATGTACGCCTTTAAATCATTTGATCTCGCGTTAAAGAAAACCTGTACCAAGGACCCTAGTTTCACATCTACCTACTCTGTTTCAAACTGTGTACATATATGTATATAGGGTTCTTATTTTATTGTATGGACAATTAAATTGATATAGAGACTACTACCTTATGAAGAGGGTTAGGATTATAACGCATTAATTACGATTGATAAACGCGACTAAAAATATATGTGTTTTTTGCTCCACGGAACCTTTGTCATCAGGTGAGTTTCACACGGATCGTTCATACTGGTGTACCAGTTGGAAAATAACAACTATCCCCTATTGTTTTAGTGCAACACTCTGGGCCCACATGATAAGGTTATCACACATACACACACACACACACACACACACACACCTAAGTGTCGCTCTTTCAGAGTTGGATGCAGTACCTCTTGTTACAGAAAAAATAAAAAAACACCTATACAATACAATACAATTTAGTCTTGTATAGCCCTAAATCACAACTGTAGTCATCTCAGAGGACTTACCAAAAACTACTGAAAATCACCAACACAGATCGGAGAATCAGCAGTTAAAAACACATAAAGACTATAGACCATACATGTTGTTAGAATATTAAAAGTGTCCTGGCTCATCACCACAGTCCTTCTAGTTTCTCATTAACTGTGTAACAAACCCATCCTGCATCAGCAAGGAAAAACTCATATGAAAAAAAAAAAAAAGTTTGAGAAAGGGGAAAAAATAAAAAAACACCTACATACAATCTGCGTCACTCTAGTGAGAAATCACCAACCAGATCGTAGTCCTCCCACCGACTATAGACCTTCATGTAATAGATTCGCCTACACTGTTTGTTCTACGTTGATAGGCCGGGGGGGCAGGTCATCCTACAACCATCTGATTTGTTGTTAGTACTCCCTCCCAAACCGCTCATCACTATCAGACAAACACACGTGTCGTTAACAGGGAGGACCTGTAGATTAATTAGTTTATTGACCTAACTGCTTGTTTTAGATACACATGTACTATGGTCATAAATCACTTTAGACAACTGTGAAACATTATCACACACACACAGGCCAACAGAAGCTAACTCATTAAAACTCTTTGAAAAATACCGTGCAGTAACACCTTTCACCACTTGCTCAAGAGCGCCGTCCCCTTTCTGAGGAGTTTTAGGGTGCAGTACCACCTTTTCACCACTTGCTCAATACTGGTGTCAATACTATCTACTCGCACCCCTTGACGTCCTTGCCCCTTTCTCTTTTCACACACCAGTCTCGTCCAGTAAATAATTTGGGCTATAGAAAGAGTCCAACAATAATAGTTTGGTCAAAAACATCTCAAACAGTGAATTCAAATGGCTTGAGGTTTCTTCTCAATAGAAGGATCTGTAGGCCCTTGTAATACATGCAGGCTTTCGGTCGTGGTGAGCAGTCAAGAGGCTGAGAGTACTGCATGGACGGATATGGCATCATAAATATACCATCTGCATACTGTTTCTGAAGCACTGAACATAGAAAAGATACAGGCCACGTTTAGATTGTATACGAAAATCTCAAATTCTATGGTGATGGAAACATGATCGTGAGAAGGCATGTGCTTATGATGTAATCTCTTTTCATGAATCGCTGTTAGAATTGGTGAAATATATGTTGCCATGTTACAACTGACTTATTTTTTCCTGAGTGGCTATTCCCAATAGCTTGTCACACAGCCTGAGAAGCAGCCAAGATTAGCCCAGAATGCATTCATTTCTCCTCCTCCAATGCTTCCTGTCCTCTCAAAAGCGTTGATCCTCTAAGCCTGCAGAGTTACAGTATCAGAGCTCACTTACACTAAAACCCACACTCACACAGAAGGAGCAGCTCCAGGTCTTAAGAGTCAATATTCTAAGTTGCGTTTTCCACACCTGGATCAAAAAACCCTCAGCAAATAAGCACTGCCTCCTCCTAATACAGTATGTTGAATGACACTCATCTACAAGTCACAGATCCTGGGTCCTGGGTCAAAAAACACTTTCCACAGAGGGGTGAGGTGGATCTCTGCCAGGACCAACTCTGTCTCTCCATGGCTCTACTGTCAGGGGATAAAAGGATAAAAAGCCTCTGCTCTGGAACTGATTACTTACATCTGCCAAGCTAAATCCCAGTGCCCACAAACACCGGCACTGCACCCAATCACAGATTAATTGTTTTTATTGTATTGACAGGCACTTTTTAAAAGGATATGCTATTCAAATCCAATCCCTATTGTGCTTACTTTTCAAGATCTGTAAAAGGTTACCATATTCACAAGTAGATTTATGCAACATGAATTGGAATACCATCCCATGGCCTACTACCTCACATTCCATACTCCACATGGAACTTGCTGCAAAACCTGACATCCTGGAGTAAAGTGCAATGTAGGTACTTTAACTATGCACAATCAACTTTGGATGCTCCTTTCAATAACGTGTCCTTGTGTTTCACTACTCTACCATAGTCAAGATATGAGTCAAGACATGTACATGTCATAAAGCTGACAACAACTACTACTGCTATCCCTCTCGTACAGTGCAAGAGGGAATAATGTGTGCTTTTTTTATATATAAAAATGGACTGAATGTGACTGAACTTCCAAGAGTTGCTTTATAGGAAATCTCTCTTAATGAACGATCCTCTCATGGTCAAATGTGCGAGATCCCGTCGTGTGGGTTCTCCCTGCGCCACTGTGACCAGTGCAACCACATTCTGTTGAAACATGAGCAATCTGCACCCAACATTTGAATGGCAGGATAATTAAACAAAAGACAGATACAAGTCGGCTGCAGGACATGGGTGTTTCATGATTTTAAAGCATGCCCAATCACCAGAGCCGTATCCACAGATGAGCACTGCGGGCCCGAGTACGAGCACGGCACACGTGCGCACACACATGCTGGCAGACAGCGGTTACCAGCTGCAGCTTAGTGAAAAGCTTTAGTCGTGTTTACCTCGGTGTCATAGATTTCTGTGATGAGGGAGAAGGTGTACTTCCTGGACTCCCGGATGTGCTTGATGGCCAGCTGGACTGCAGGCACAATCCCCTGGCTGATACTGCTCATCAGAGCAGACTCGTTCATTGGCATAAGAACCATTATGGGTAAGTTCTCTCCGTCCTTGGCGAACCAGTTGTTGTCCTGCCCGTGTTTGGTGCGGTCGTTGCACACCTTGGCCAGGGCTGACTGGAGAAGCAGGGCAGATAAGAGCAGGCATCCTATTGGAAGGAACATCCTCCAGCCACCGCAGTCTGTGTATGGAGGCATGGTACTGTGTGCAGTGACCAAAATGATCCCCCGAAGCCTCACTGATCGGGCATTGCAAGCCCCTACTCGTCCGGAGTGCTCACCCGTCGAGGAAACAAAACAGAGCAGACGAGCACCGCAGAAGCCCTGCAGTGGGCAGCGCGTCTTCTCACACTGACACAAACTGACACAATGTTACTCGACTTATCAAAGATTATTCCCACAGCAAGGCTTTGCGGAACATAAACAAGTATATCACCAGTCGTGTCCAGTTAATGAAACATCTCATTTAGTCTTCTCGGCAAACATATGCCTCACTGCGTTAACCTCTGTAAGACAAGATCAATCACTCGTCAACAATTGTAACAGAGACGTCTAAAGTATATTCCCATCGAGATGCCAATGCGCGCCTCCTTGCAGTATGCAGCGGTAAATTATGCGTCTGAAGCAGGGGTTTCGTTCTGAAGACTGGGATGCACCGTCCAAGCTTGACTGCAGTGTTCCGAGGGTGAGATGTCGAGAAAGAATGTCTTCAGTGCAGCCAGTGGGGCTGGGATGCTCCTCTCCGATGGTGCGTCAGAAGCGCAGCCGCCGCCGCTGCTCTCAGCTCGTTCAGGAGGAGGGGGGGGGGGGGGGGGAGAGGGGGGCGGGTGGGCTGCAGCGGCTTTATGTGATACAGCCTCATCTGCGCTTTGACAGCCAATGTGGATTACTAGTCGTCACATCGTGGGCAGACAACGTTTAAGCATCCAGGACACTTTTATATTGGAGCGTAAACCTCTAAGTTAAAGTCAAACGAGGATCCTACAAAAAAGCTTAAGGGAAGCGTCGTTACAATAATGATTGTTTTCTCAAGACATTATTACACACACATGTACCTTTTGAATAATAATCCTAAAGCACATATAGTATACAGTATATATTGCATATGTTCAAAAAGAGCTCCCCACATTGGGACAAACTGCATGAGCATAAGAATAACCAGAAAGATTGCACACGCATATATCAAGTATCAATAACCCTTATTCAACATTGATCATACGAGTAGACGTCCGTGCAAAGGAAAAATCATATTCAGCACCATGGATAGTTCCAGTCACAAAAACGCTGAAGTGGCTTCAAGGTGATATTTTCAGAGGTTTGAGAAATGCAAAAAATAACTGTTCGCTTACTAATGAAATACATACAAAACAATATGAACATAGACAGCTATAGAAACATGTGTATGCACAAAGGCTCATGTTGCACTTTTGAGGCCAAATGAGCAGCTGAGTAAATTCATGAGAGAGGCTGTTAATTCATGAGAGAGGCTGTTGATTCCAGAGGAAAACTATTGATACATAACGGTGCTCTAATTTGGGGCCAAGGAAAGATGCCTTTACGTGAGAGAAAATCACAAATCACAGGCAACAGACGGACAAGGACAGCAGACCAGTGGTATTACTACATAAAGAAATATAGACTGAGGTGAGATTTGATCTCTGACCATTACCTCTCATGCTGACAACTATCAAGACCAAAGCAAAGGATATGCACCAAAAGCAGCCATGAAATATACGTGGAAAACATTTCTGAAGATGAGGGAGGCTCCAACCCAGCGGCAGATTTGTACCATTAAGGCTTCCATGCTACAAAATATACTATTATACAAAAAGTATTCATATAATAGTACAGTAGAAAACTACTACAGCACAAGGAAAGGACATAAGCTCATGTGGTGATCCCTAAAGTGCGCTGTTGCCTGATAATCTACAGTCAGTTGACCAATGCACACACTGCGTATGAACAGATTCTTTACTCTAACACTGAAGACTGCACTTTCCTACAGCAGGTGTTGATGCTGTATTTCTGACTGTATGAATGAAAGTGTACTTATGCAAGTGCATATCTGGTCTCAGTGTGAAACAGCACTTCTTCCCTTTGGTGTCCCTGATGCAGGTGCCCAGTGAAGCTCCTCGGTGCCAGCCTCAGATCAGCTGATGTGGACAATCGATCTGTGGCAGACTCTCTTCATTAGGAGTCCCTGAGGCCAGGCCACCTGCCACTCACTCACCCGCACTCCCATTCGGCTCCAGCTACTGGACATTAGAGAGATTTGGTGTTTCGATGTTATATCTTGCTTCTGGTGTTATTCTGTTTTGTGTATATAGGACTCTGAAAAAAATGGAATGTGGCTGCTCAAGTAACTTAAGCAGCCAAGTAACTGAAAATATAAATATAATCTACCATATGAATAAACATCTACCATAGCAGCAGTAATAGTGGAACCAACTGTAAATTAGCAGTAATACTGCTTGCATCTGATTGCACAGAACAATCACAAATTGGGTGCCAGTTTTAGTTGATATATAATTGGACTTTTTAAAACCGTTTCGTACTTGCAGTTCCTATTTTCACAGGTAATGGCTGTACTGTTGTTTTGATCCAGATGAGCATGGAAAACCAAAACCTAACTTTAAATGCCAGATAAGACAGTTGGTCTGTTTTGTAAATCAAACAGCTTAAAGCTAATCACATTTTGGAGTAGGTAATCAAAGAACTGCAGTGGGTATGAGAGAAGCTCGCCAACAGGCTTGGCACACAGCACTACCCTCCACAAACACACAAAGGTCTAATAGCTGTGCCACTTGAGCTCGGTAAAAGCGGTTGATGAAAGCAGAGCTCAGTAGAGAGTGGTTCTGGCCCTGCTTCCTGCCACTCCTCCAAATGTCTACAGCCTCATTACAACTAAGTAGAAGCAGAGTCCGTACAATCTCATACCAATACCTGTGGGGCAAGGCTTTGTATTCAGACAGTACGTCCTTGAATCAAGAACAGCGTCTAAGAGACTCCTAATCCAAATGTACCACAGATCGTTAACATTTGATCCTCACCTGGATGTTTTCACTGCACATCCAAATGCTCACTAACTGTAAATGTAAAGATGCACTTAGATAAGCTGCCTCACATGACCCTGGCTGCCCCATGCTCTCCAATGATTCGCTAGTCTGCAGTGAAACCCGGGGCTGCTTGGATAATGCTCTCGGTAGAAAGCCAGCAGGGGTAGATGAGGTTATAACCACAAGCAATTAGCGCATCGTCTGACAATGAGTGTTCTCCTCTTATGTCTCTGCTCAGAGGTTTCCGGAGTCGTGCCATGATGAGCTGTATCGATCAGGGAACAGCAAAGGTCAGTGGACTGGCTCAGCGCCGCCAGCACCACCATGAGCCCTGGCACACTCTGAGGCACACTCTGAGGCACACGCTGAGGCACACTCTGAGGCACAGTCTGAGGCACAGTCTGAGGCACAGTCTGAGGCACACTCTGAGGCACACTCTGAGGCACACTCTGAGGCACACTCTGAGGCATACCTGCATGCTACAGCTCACGGCATACAGACTATAAACTTGTGAACTCTAAGGAAGAAACATATGAAAACGATCAATCTGCCATGGGTTTGAGTACAGTTGTTGAACTCATTGCATCATCAAAACTTTAAATGTCAATCAAATTGTTTTCTAACATTATTGGCAAATGCAGATCCCATTAAACACATCATTCTCTGTGGAACAATAGAGCTTCTGGGGATGCAGGGCAGTGTTGCAGAGAGCATCCCTCATGTTATCCCTCCTTGTCTGTGGTAACAAGTGGGGTTTTCAGCAGAACAACACTACATGGGAGTTTCTTTGATCTGAATCTGAGGGAACCTTTGGAGATGAAATGACAGTTTAAAACCATAGATTGCCTTCATGAGGCCGTTTTCACCACTTGTACTTGATCACGTCCTGGAAACACAGCATTTCTAAAGTGATCAACAATAAAGGTGGAGCTACTCATTACTGAGTTCATATTTGGAGCTTTTCGTTTGAGGGAGCTTTATAGATATTTTTGTGTGGTCCTTAACTTTTGTCTCTTTCTGTTTTATTGTTATTTTCAATATTTTGCTTACTTGATTTTTTTTGCAATTTATGATGTATTTCCGTACTTCAAGTAGTCCTCATTTTTTGACCTGGACTGTATTGAGCCATCTAAGGCTTATATTTCCATTTCCTGTGTATTTAGTTGTCTGTTAAACTGAGCACATCACCACCACATCAGCCATGAATAATGCAAAAAGAAGGAATACATTTTTCCCCAGACTTGGTAAGAACTTTAAGTGCTACTTCTCTCTTAAATGAACATTAGCCAGTTTGCATCTGCCGGCACTCAGAGGTGAATGCTTCCTGTTTTTGTAGATTTTCCTCTGTCTTCACAGTAAGCCTATTGGGCCAAGCTAAAGCTCTTACAGTAATAGTTGTTTATTTTTATTTAAAGCAACAATATATACATTTCTGGATGTAGCACATCACCTTTCATATTCCTTGTTGATTGTTTTACTAGCTATCAGTTGTTTTATGTCTTTTTGTGGTGGAGGGAGATTATTATCATTATCTCCTTAAGGGCAGGTTTGTTGAGATACAAGCCTGTTCACTACAAGAAAACTGTGTAATATATATTTTGTAAATGCTGCCTGTTGTTTCAGAAAGGTAGTTATACAAATAATGAAGCATTGAATTCACACAGCCACACTCTGGTGGAAAGAGATCTGATAGTTGGACCTCCATCATAGCTCTTTGAAGTGAAAGAGCCCCCTTGAGAGGGCAGGATTCAATTTAATCGTACACGGTTAAGAACTGTATCTTTAGCAGTGCGAGGTGGAGGGGAGTCAAGGTGGAGGATGCGTCTTACCTCATGGGAGACACAGGAAAACAGAGGATACCACTCAGATTGTGTGAATGAGCCTCAGCTGTGGAGCAGAAGAGGTGCAGGGCAGGCATTGGCTCATGTATGTGGAGGCACAATATTCAAGTAGAGCGGAGGAGGCAGCACTGGTCTAACTTTAGAAAGACACGACTGGCACACCATAGCACACATGCGTCATGTGCAGGCAATAGTATTATGTAAAGAGCTTTGGTCTATTGTAACCTGTGAAAGGATCTTCTATTTGCTTTGCGTCTTCAATCACGTATTATAGCTCCTAATATAATATGCAAGTACACTATAGGCGGCACGGTGGCTGAGTGGATAGCACTCTCACCTTTCAGCAAGAAGGTCCTGGGTTCGAATCCCGGTCGGACTAGGGCCTTTCCTTAGTGGAGTTTGCATGTTCTCCCTGTGTCTGCGTAGGTTTTGCCTGGGTACTCTGGTTTCCCCTACCACTAAAAACATGTACAATGGTACTGGCATGTGCTTCTTGTACTGGCGATCCCGCTCCCATCTCTGTGTGGAGTGAGTGGACAAGTGCCCATAATTAACAATTGTAAACCGCTTTGTGACTCTGGTCTGTGAAAGGCAGTTTATAAATAAAGATTACTTACTATACTCTGTAACGTAAGCATTGGGTTTTAGATTCAGGTTTACCTCAATCTTTTTAAGGAGTTTTGACAACTTGGTGACATAGCCTTTATGTAAAATGTGACAAATGTGAGTCACTGCCTTATATTCTGTGTAGATTATTGCGGCGTACACACTTTTTCTTTACTGTTATATATCATATTTCTACAAACACAAAAACACGCACAGACAGGGACAATATCATAACCTCTGATCAGGACAACAAACATGTCGCTACAACAAGCATCCATCCATCCATCCATCCATTTTCTTCCCTTTAATCCATTTCTGGGTCAGGGGGGTGGCAGTCAGAGATGCCACCCAAGTCTCATAGCACCAGCCCCTCACTGACCCTCTGCAGGTGGTGAGTCCACAGGAGGACGGCTGCTCTCTGAGTGTGAGCATAGCCTTGATCTTTCAGTGGGGGCTTTGGGCAAAGTGGGGTTAAGTGTCTTGCCCAAGGACACAACGACAGCAGTCATCAGTGGGAGTTGGTGGAGAAGGTGCAGAGGTGGGAATTGAACCCATGACCTTCTGGCCTTAAGGCCAATGCTCTACCAACTGAGCTACTGTCGCCCCCGCTACAACAAGCACTTTTACATTAATATTTATTATACAGTATTTTATTTTTACTTATTTAATACTTTTTCCATTTTTTTTTAAGTGTAGAGTTATTGTTTATTGATATTGTGCTGTGTGTTCCTCATTCTTACTGTTCTGTAACTGGTGATGCAAAGAAAAAAAAGTATCTCCTAATCTCAATTAATGTTATGAATGAATTGCCATCTGAGAAACAAAGTATCACCAACATATTCTGGATCAACCCTTAGGCCTATTCAATGTTACTGATACAGTTCATTTGACTGAGTAAGTAACATTAAATGGATGGAGCACCTAAAAACAAATGCAAAAGCAAACCAGCACATGTTGTGTTGAGACAGCTGGTTCATTTAGTAATCCATCAAACCCTGTGCAAAGGAGAAAATGAATGATACTGAAGGTGGAATGGCTAATCACCTGTGGGCACATTTTATCTGGTAGGAACACATTAAAGATGTATTCTGACAGTGAAGGCTTGGATGGAGGCGGTGGCTGCGAAAAATTGCAGTCTGCAGCAGTGTGAATCAACGCGACTGGCAATCTCAAAGTTTAGGCACTTTTACTATCAAACTGTATCTCAACCGTTTGATACAATACACAATACAATACAATTTATTCTTGTATAGCCCTAGGTCACAACAGAAGTCATCTCAGAGGACTTAACAAAACCATTGAAATCACCAACACAGGTCAGAGAATCAACAGTTAAAACACATGAAGAATATAAAGCACACACAGAAGAAAATGTCCATACATGTTGTAGAATGCTAAAGTGTCCTGATCATCACCAATCCTTTCTGTTGGACACTAACTGTCCAACAAGACCCTCCTGCATCGACAAGGAAAAACTCTTAAAAAACCCAGTGGGAAAAAGTGAGAAACCTTGGAGGAGAACTAGGGAAACCCACAGGGAGGGAGACCCATATGAGAAAGGGATCCGCTCCTCCGGACGGACAGGCTAATGATCTAGGACCTAAGCTAGCTACAGAACGTGGACCAGTGGACGCTGAACGTGGACAGGTCCGGTGCAGGACTGAAGCACTCCCAGGCGGGTCGGGCGGGGCAGTCCGCAGGTGTAGATGGAAGAGGCCAGGCTCAGAGATCCCGTCATCGTACCATGAAACAGACAATGGGACAACGGGTGAATAGTCTGATGATAAAAGTCTATATCACTAACTTGTCACTATATGTAAGATTAAGGGAAAATCTGTTAAAATATACTTTCCTCAATACATTTGTGTACAGTATGTATGCATTTTATAGTTTGGGTTATCATTTTCAAATCCTACAAGAAACATATAGAACCAGTGTAGCAAAATGGGCGAACATAATCATGTGCGGACTGGGGAGAATCTTCACAGACTGCAATTACTACAATAGTTGAAGAAGCATGAAGAAGAACCCCGACCTTCAAGCAGATGAATATTGGGCCTTACAAAGAGAAAGTGACCACATCATCCTTAGAACAGCAGCTTTTTATGACAAAACTGGTGAATTAAGACCAAAACATTTTTTTATTTATAAAGTCAGGGACTGGTTGTGACAATTTGAGAAGACTTTTGCAATTAATTCATGGCACCTCAACCGTTGTAGGACCAGTGATGCATTCTCACATATTGCCCTGACAGCATCTTTTGGCACGGGTACACATTTTAAAACAATGATCAAGGTCCTTTCTAGTAATCCAATGATATACCAACTTTTGCCTGCGGCTCTAGACAGCGGTGTCCTTTTACCACTCTACTGTTTGCTCCCTCTCTCCCGAACCCCTGCCTCAAACTATCTGTGCATTCACTCCAATTGAGTGGGGCACACGTTTATTGACCAAATTGACTGAATTTACCAGAGTGCTTTGATCTTCATGAGTCATGAGTCAACAGTGTGTTAAAACAGCAGCTTATACTCAGGTGAGGACTATATCTGGACAAAATGTACCTTCATTTTAAAAGTAGCTGTTGTGGTTTATATACAGGTGCACTTAATAATCCGCAAATGTAGCAGCATAAATTTAAAGCATTTTATTGGCAAAGTTGCAAAGCCCATGATGGTATTGCATGGTTTATAACGTTTGTATCTAGGTCTCACATGTCGCCTGAACAGTCTGGAAGTCCCTTCAGAAAGTGAAAGTGTGTCATCTAATGTATGCAACCACCGCTTCTGTGCTGTTCTGGGGATTGGGATTACATCAACTAAGTGTGTGTGAGTATGTTTGCGCTGCTCCTATGGCTCCTCACTCCTGACAACTGAAGCTGGAGCGCCTCTGAAGACCTGTACCATGGGGATCACTGTTTTGCATTTTCATTAAAGACACATATGGGTGCAGAAAAGTAAGTGCACTCAGGACAGTTTACTTTTTGTTTTGCATTCACCATTAGTGCCACATATTTTGACACAGTTGGTTTTCATTGTCAATAAATGAATGGCAGTTAGTCATTTTCCCGTCACATGACCATCTCAGACTCTATATAGGAGCTGAATCTGAAAGCAGGTTTCACTCAAGAGCTGTTTTTTAAAAAGTTCAACTAATCATCTGCCATCTCTGTTCTGTCTGGCCGTCAGACATCAAGGCTCTTGCAGAGCTCACACCAGAGCCTCAGTCAGTGGGGACTGTGTGGTTCCTAAGTTTAGAACATCTTTTGGACAGTCAACCTTTTCCTCTAAAGGAGCCAGATCGCAGAACACACATCCCTCAGACCTAAAACTACAAACCAACTGAAGCATCTTTACCAGACATCTGAACCTGTGGCTGAAATTGGAGAAAAGTTGTTCACATGATTTATGAATTTTATATTTGATGTATACTTTAAATGTGTGTATTCAAGTCCTACACACCTTCTATGGACAAATGTTGAAAATTAATACGGTCTTGCTAGAAGACTGCAATGTAACTGTGTCTATGTCAAATAAACACACAATTATTTAGAAAACCATGTGATTTACAAACACAACCTTAAATATTGTATTTATTGACTATCATTTACATGAAATCAACATGTGCAATGACAAAAGGCAACTGGAATCATAGCATAATCTACATCATTACAATAGTGCAAGTTTACAACCATAGCCACAATTCAGCCCGTTGTGAGTTTGAGCTTTGGGTGACGTTAATGGGTGTGAGGAAATCCATAACTCATGATTTGTATTGTTCTGTCTCAAGTTTGCATATGCTATAATGTCACTAAAATGTTTATTACTTAGGACATGCCCCAAATAACAGATGGTGGCAGGGGAAAATATGACAGTTTAATGAGGATATTTATAGCATGGGCTTCACACTGATGGAAATGGTATGTCACCCTGCATATGCAAAATAGATTAAAAAAAACAATCCGTTCATGTGTGAATATAGGACTTTAAATGCATTTCCTGATCTTTCTTCCTCAGCTGGTAACTGCAAACATAAGTTCCTATTCATAAATCAGACTCCAATGAAGGCTATACACAAACGGTAATGCGAGTAAGATTTGGGCAGTCCAAAAGATAAGGGCGTTCTCTGAAGCACAGAAAGAGGAAGAGGTGCTGATAACAAATTGGGCCGGGACCAGAAAATCAATCAAGCCACCATCTGGTATTGGAGCACTCCAGAGACACCCACAACTGTGCGCTCCTCTGCAGTGTCCCCCTGTACACAGCCACTGGGACAGGAAGAACCTCCAGCCGTGTGACGGATGGTTGCGATCAGATCACAAAAACCCACTCGCCACAGTCACACGAGGGGACTGTACCCACGCCTTTAGTGCAGAAGTGTGAAACATACATGTGTGATTTTACTGTATACTGCACAGGCACAATATTGTTGCCAGAAAGTGAATTATATATAGTATCAAAAGATCTGTTGGCATTGAACAACTACAACATTTACTAATATAAAATACATTATTATCAGTTGATAGTGCTGCATAGATTTTCTTTTCCTAATCTAAAACAATCTTAAGTCTTAAAGGCGGTGGACAGATTATTTCAAAAAAGGTCTATTGATATAAAAATAACAATGATAATCCTTTTTTTAAGTCTTGGAAATGAGGGCGAGTAAACCGTCAAATGTTCTGGAACGTCTATATACAAAAGGCAACAACATTTGCTCTAGTTTTGGCAAGACACAAAAGATGTGGGTTATGCAGAACCCTACAGAGGTGCAATGTGGCCCTCTACTGGAAAAGCATCATAATCTTAATATTGGTTGGTCAGAAAAACTGAACCAATGTTACAAAAGTTACCACATTTAACAATTTCTTTGTTTCATAAAAAAAAGAAAAACATCTCCAGCATGTTCCTTAAATAAAATGTATATTTCTAGTCCTTCAATGTTGTCAAACAATTTCAAAAATTATATTCGTTCTTCAAAGTACCACTGTTGGTACGGCGTGTTGGAACACGGCTGTAGCGAAGGGGCAGGCGTCTCATCCTCGGCCGTGTGTAAGGCGTTCACACACTTCTGACTCATCACATGGTAAAGAGTCCCATCCTATAACGCATATCCATGGTTCATTTATGTTCTATAAAATGTATTTGTCAAAACACAGACATTTACCTCCTTTAGGATAAACTGTTGGTCAGCGGGTACAGCCTGGCCTCGTTTCCGACACAGTTGGACGGTCAGGAAAGTACTGACGTTATCCCCCGCCATGCAACCTGCAGGCTCCCTCGTATTATAGCGGATCTCACCATCCATGGAGAATTCAAAGAACTGAGGTACAGAATAAAACTTTCAATGGATATCAGTGAGAATGGAAAGTTAATTCTAAGAATGATATTATTGCAGATACTTAAAACTCTAAAACTGATTCAAAAAACATATATACATTATATATACATACATACAGAGTACAGTAAATAAATATGCATTGCTTGAATGAAGTAGAGTCCAGAGTAAAATGCCTTAAGAAATCAAACAACCATCCTTCTTTAGGTTAACTCTGTTTCAAATGCAGAAACCTGATGGTTTGCATGCTTTTGCAATGCTTACCTGATTTTGGCCCATGCCATGACACGGGTACAAGATGACCCTTCCACCCACAATGGAATGTTCATCTGCAGGGTTGTAGTCAAAACAGTAGTTTTTCTTCCCTCGATTTTTCAACTGCAGTGAAACACAAACTCAATGTCTTTTCTGATTACATGGTTCATGCATATTCATCTTTTCACATAAAAAGATCAAACAAAAAATATCTCAGATATGCCCTCACCATTCCATACATGCCCGGCCGGTCCTCCGGGACGTGAATATCAGGGTAAACATTGTCCAAGTACCACCGAAAGTTCTGACAGCCGAGGCGTTCCTTCAGCTTTCTTCGGTCTGTAACGTCCCCAAAAGCCTCCTGTAATTACAAACATAATCTCATATACTAAGCACATCAGCTCATCACAATTATTACCTTACAAAACAACCTAAAACAGATGACTAAGTGTCATGTACGCTCTGTGGTCACTGCTGCCTCCCAGTGGTCTGGAAAGAAACTCCAGACTATGAACAAATACTGGTGTACAGACAAAAACAGGGCAGGGATAGAAACATTGAAAGTATATATCTGTGTACGTCTCAAACAATATACAAGAGCCTTTAAGAGACACATCTGGGACATTAGCAACAAAGGTTTAGGTTGAAATTCAATGGGTGTAATAAACCAGTAGTTGCTCAATCTACCACCTGTACCGCTAAACTACCTGTAAATACAGGACATGAGTAGCTGCTGCCCACACGGCAGATGCCTTTCGAGCCCAATGTAAACACACAAAGTGAACAGTGTAATAGTCCATAATACTTTGAGAGCAGCACATACATCATGTATGTGGCCTTTAAACATTTCATTCTAACAAATGGTCATTTTAAAAACTTTCAACAATACTACACAAACGCTTCATTATCAATAAGTGTGAGACCTTTATTGTCCCAAGAGGATTCTGCTTAAACACAGAAACACTTAACATAATTGACAATGCAAAAAAGGTTGTCGTGTGAATATCGACAGCCTTTATATTCAGAAGCAGTTGTTTTGAAACCTGAGCGTTTGGGGACTTTCAGGTCACGCTGAGGTTGGCATGGTTCTCCAGGAGAGGAGTGCCAGTGCCACTCGATCTGTGTATAGAGCTCCTCCTCTTAACTACACTGTGACACACACAAGCATGGACCGGGAACCCAGTGGTTACAAGAGCTCTGTCAAGGACAGCTGGGTGACACCAGTGACACTGATGGAGGAGGTAATGACACACCAGGGAGCCTGCCACTCACCTCCTCCAGGTGTCACCTAATCAGGGAGCTTCTTGCAGAGAGAGCCTGCTTTTGTGGAAACCAGAGCTGACCAGTAAAATCAGTTATGTGACGGCACAGCTGTAATCAAACACTACCACACTGAAAACATTCACGTATTATTAACTATCCTAACTCCACACTTACCAGTCGAGCGTGCGGGTTTCGATGGTAGTACACCTCCTTGAACTCATCCATCCAGACCTCAGCTGCCCTCACACTGTTAGCAAGAGCCTTACTCCGAGCATATGGGGCCTTTTTGGGAAACACATGACCCACATGGGAGCACGGATGGATCTCAAGGCTGCCACCACACTGCCAAATCTATTAAAAATAAATACATACATTGCTACATAGATACTACATCTATTAGATGTACAACAATTAGCATTCTTATTCAATGATAAATGAGTTTCCCCCCATCCCATCAAATGTGTGGCTTTTTCAAAAAGGAAGATTCCAACATTCCTTGCTGTAATTAATCTATTTTGTGGTGAGTACAATCTTGTCTTCCGGGGACAAATAGGAAACAGAGCACCATTGCATAAGGAAGGCGTGTAAGATTTTTTGTAATGCTAACCCGCCAGACCATTTTCTGGCTCATACACTTCTGTAAAAATGATAATTCATGTGAATATAAAATTAATTGTTCCTTAATTTATAGTAATTATATAAAGTAAAAATGGCAGCAATTCTTACCCTAAAGGAGAACTCCAGGTTTTCTCCGCCCCACACCTCCATCCCTGTGTCATATGTCCCAAGATACTGGAAGTAGTCTTTCCTCACAGCAAACAGACCCCCCGCCATGGTGGGAGACCTGAGAGGAAATGCATACATTGTGGTAATCTTCAAGAAAGTATCCCTGTGTCCCTGATACACATTTTCATAAGCGTGTTTTGCATTTGAGTTGAAAATGTTATGAAAAATAACAAGGCAAGAAATTAGTAAGAAGCAAATCAGACCTTATGACATCTGTCGGCGACTGCCTGCGTTTCTGTTCATAGTCAGGAACAGAGTGCCAGGTAAACACGAGCCTCCAGTCAAAACCTCCAATCTGAGGTTCCCCCGAATTCCCCATGTACTGAAATGTGTTCCAGTCTATTACATCAATAACAGGACACACAACAGCACTAGGCTCCTCTTTGATCCTGCAGAAACACATACATACTTTTATCAAACCAAGAATGAACAAACCAAATGACAAAGACCTACCTCTGCAGCAGTGGCTCCAGCCATCCTTCGTGGCACTCACAGTGACAGTCAAGGTAGGTCAGGACGTCCCCCGTCGCAATGGAGGCCCCTAGCAGCCTTGCCCGCACCAGACCCTCACGTTTAGTCGCCCGGATAAGTCGCACTTTTTTTAAACTGCTGATGTATTTCTCCAGCGGTTTTTTTAAATGTTCTGTGTGAACGACAAGACAAAATCACTGTGTCGCAATCCTAATCCTAATGTTTTCCAATCTGCACCACAACTTGTGTAATGCCAGTTTTACAGACAGACATGGGCGTGGACTACTTAACAATGCAGATGGTTACTCACTGCCATTATCTGGCAACATTGCATTGTTGTAGAAGACATTATTATAAAAAGCTATACAGGGCGACTCTATGGGCCCGACTCTATGGGCTCGACTCTATGGGCTCGACTCTATGGGCTCGACTCTATGGGCTCGACTCTATGGGCTCGACTCTATGGGCTCGACTCTATGGGCTCGACTCTATGGGCTCGACTCTATGGGCCCGACTCTATGGGCTCGACTCTATGGGCCCGACTCTATGGGCTCGACTCTATGAGGAAGAAGCCATTTATGAAAAAAATGTGGTGAACTTCCTCACTACTCTTTGCTCTTTGGAATGTTGTGATGTCACATGGACGCGACCTACTTCTTTTCTTTTTTTTTTGTACATTAACAGCATTGAAAAACCAAAAACAATATTAGAATTTGCAAAAGGAGGACAAAAATGCATAATCCACCTTTTTCACTATAGTCGTCAACAAGCACCACTTCTTTGAGGAGGATGTCCGGGGAGGTCTCCAGGACGCTGTGCACGGTCCGGAGCAGAGTGGACCAGGCCTCGTTGTAAAAAGCTATCACCACAGAAGTCGTGGGCAGGGACTTGTAGTCATACTTCAAGTCTTTGCAGCTGATGATAAACAAAACGGAAGAAACATGGGTCAAATTCATGGACCGTATGCCTAAATACACTCTATGATCAAATTGAGCTGAATCAGTATGTTAGAGTAAGTTATATGAAAACAGAAAGAGATCACGTGGTTCTCTATACGTACAGGGGATTCCATCTTTCAGCCAGTCTACGATGTAATGAGATTTTATCACTCAGGTAAATGTTAATCTGGTGTTTGTTGATGCTTTCCTCTTGTTTATTCCCCTCTTCCTCGCTCAGTTTGAGTGTGACAGCTTTCCCCAGTTCACCCAGCGCGTTTAGATCCAAAGCAGGTTTTTCATAAACAGGTTTTCTGAGATCCTCATAAGTCACTTCTTCGTCTTCTTCTTTTACTCCTTCTTTCCTCAGAAGTTCTCTCGCGCTGACGTCCACGGAGTTGTGCCTGGAAAATACCAGATACCCCAATAAAGAGGCACCAGTCAAGAGAAAGAGGGCTATCTTGAATCGATTCCTTCTTCTGTAGGCTGCCATCGTGACGTCTCCTCAGCGGCCGAGATGAGTTTCATGCCCACAAAGCGTTCATTTTGAGACAAGTTTAAGTTAAAGAGCAACTTCCAGTGTTGGGCAAACATCTGCTGCAACTTGCGATCCGCCCCCTTCTTTTTACCACCTATGCTACTTCTGCTTGTGATAAAAAAATAGATTACCAAAGTCGGATTAAAGATAATTCTAAAGGATTAACAAAGCGTGAAGGACAACTCCAAAAGCCAACCTCCTTTACGCATGGCACAATCTTTAGATAAGAGGTCGGCATTGAGGAATTGACCGAGGGTTGAGTCGTTTCTGGCTTCTTGGAACTGGCTTCTTGAACTTGATTTGTTTAACAAGTTTGTCGCCAGTAAGTTGAAAGAGACCACGCAACTTCCGGTTAGGGAAATCCAAAATAAAAGCGCTACATTATTTTTTTTTTTTTTTTCGTATTTCTCGCCTTTTTTGGAGGTTTTATGACTCTTTTTTGTGCACGTTAGAAATGTCTGTGCGTGTGTTTTTGTATGGGGGACAGACGTGTGCACACCAGGGCTGCTTAATAGCCTTCAGATAATCACGTCATTAGTGTATCACGAAATCTAGTACTTAAGTCAACAACACTAACGAAGGTCACGTGTTATCTGCATCTGGACAGACTGTCCTCGTGACCTCATCTCGCAAGGTCGATCATTTGATGTCACTATTGCTTGAAGATATTATAAATTTATTTAATAACATTTCACACCTTTTTTGTGAGAATGTGTGACACCTGAAATACAATTGCCTCCATGTAAGTGCTTGTAAATGATTTAGAAACTAGAATGGGTCATATATGTGCATATTTGTATTTTAATGTGTCAATAAGTGCATTAGCTGTGTATTTAGGTGCATTAATATATGGTTTTATGACTCCCTGAAATTATGAAAATTATCTGACACGATAAAATCTGATATAAAATTTATGTTTAAGCAAATTAATAAGTAAATAATTAAGGTGGAGTTTCAGAGCCAGCAAGTAATACGAGTGGCATCCATGTGATGCAGCACCCTTAATGTGAAAAGTACAAAGACATGTTGTAGTAATACGTCACGCCTGAACGTAGCTGTCAAACAGGCCCACGCACCAGGGCGTGTTCATGTAGAAGCTGTCTGTCGGACTGTGCCAGTCAAACACGTTCCACCAGCGGCCTTTTGTTATTGGAGCTTTTTTGATATCACAATGAAATGCATTCCTCATCACTCATCAGCCTCCAGTGCTCTCCTCATATTGTAACGTATGTTTCCCCCCATGGAAATCCCCCGATCTAACATCTACAATTCACTTAAAGCACGGTACCGAACCTTTTGTTCCCCTCATAAATGATACACTTAAGTTTGCCAAAATTGAAAGGATCAGACCACAACCATGGAGCTATTGTAATATGTAGTGTTAAAAAGCAAAGTTACATGCTTGAAAACACAGCCCCACTGTCTGTGTTTCTTTTTCACGTTTCTGTCTGGAAAAGCTGATCTAAAGAGGTGGCAGATACATGCATGTGGAAATGAAACTATTTGGAAGAATGTAATTTTACTTTTAGAAGTTTGGAACCCCAGCTTTAAGATCGGCTTAAGTTTTTCTTGAAATATATTTTCTAGCTCCATTAGTGTGGTTTTGTGAATCCGTTTAACGTGTACCTGAGGAAGGACTATTTTAAACGTCAAAATAGTTCTCCCTCAAGAGAAAAAATATAGTTTAGAACCACTAGGTGGCACTAAATGACTGATAAAAAGTTAACTTCGCCAGGCGGATAAAAAAGTGCTTTAATAAATGTTCAACAGCAAAGAAGACCTCAGTTCACACCATCAACATTTATTTTTGACCCAAAACATCACTTTCACCATTCATTCCATTCCCAAAACTCCTTAATATCAAGTAATCAACATTCCCTTTCCAGGTCAGTAGTCCAAGAAGTGTTTAGTGCATTACACCTCTAATCCCTTAAATTAAACAATGAAAAAAAATGATAATAATAAAATTGCAAGTTAATCCATTGTATCCACTTACTTGGATAGCGTCATATCTATACATGCAAGGAGCCAAAGGGAACAAAATGCTCAGTAATTAACAATAATTATCAAATACCGCAAACCATAATGCAGCTTTGAATTAAAATTAATAAATCAGGAATGGCTGCTTCCTTATTCAAGTAGATTTAACTAACATGGCACATCTAAAATGAAGTCTTTTAAAGGTGCTTGGTTTAAGGCGTCTTGTGAATGTAAAAAATAAAATAAAATGGAAAGAAATATGAAATAAACACAGGTCTGTATGCCCAGTGTTTGTACAGCATTTCACATGAACCAACACAGACACGCGCAGACATCATCCCTTCATCAAATAACTTAAGGCACTTTAGAAGCACATCTATACAGTAGATGGGTTTGGGGTAAGTTTTGTCAGTATTATTAGGCAAGAAAAGGGTACAAGCCTCATGTACCCAGGGCTATTGTTTTGTTTTTGTTTTGTTTTTCTCGAGGGCTGTATTCTTTGGAGGGCCATGGTCTCCTGGCTGGATACATGCACATATTAAGTCCAATTTAAAAATGTGTAAGTCTTTATCTAAGTATGATTAGATACAGAACATGAACCCGGCCATGGTAGAAGGTTGCTGTTGAAGGTTGTAAATCTTATTCTGATGCAGTTGGTGCCTCACTAACCATCTCACTGCATATCACTGAAGATACAAGTTGTAAATGTAATTTAAAATCTTACATATGGTTCCTTTAAAGAATGTCGAGTCCTGTTCAAAACGTATCCAAGCATGAAAATAGCTCCAGATACAAGATATAATTGAGAGCCAGTCTACTGTAACAATAGGAACAATAGTTGCCTCCCTTTTCTCTGCTCATGATGGAGACTGACACACAGTGGTTAGATTAAATATACTTCAGGACTTGCAGTACTTTCCAGACAACTGAAGCATGTCTATATAAATATTACAATCATTTATACAATGTATTCTTCGTTCCGTTCTGACTTTTGGTGCAGACCTGTCCCTAGAGCCTTTGCTTGTGTCCGTCTCAGTCAGCTCGGCTGGGCTGTAACGCCCAGGGGGATGAGAGTTTGTGAATTAAAAGTACTATTCAAGTCCAAAACTACTATTTGTAAGAGTGCAGGCAGCCCATTGGCATCTGAGTAACACCTGTATCGCCCCCTGCACACGTTTTCCTTCCACGACAACGGGAAAACACAGCGCAAGCCTGGATATCAAAACCACAGTGCATTAAATCATCAATTATAGGTAATCTGCTTCATACTAAAATCATGATGGACTGCATTTACTCATGAAGCAAATCCTCATTTACAATCTGGAGTGATCTGAGCTGTGAGGTTGATCCGAGCTGTGAGGTTGATCCTGGCGCCTGCAGGTGGACCAGATTTTATCCCTTGTGCAGAAACGCTTTGGAGGGCTGGGACAGAGATAAGCGGAGACTCTGGATGTGCGGTCAGAACGAAGGATGTAAAATCTCGGTATTTTTTAAGGCACTGAATGCATTGCACTTTCTGTAACCGTGCAGACTTCAAAAGGCACTTATATCATTGTTAATCTTTTGAAAAGACAATCAATTTGTGCGTCCTTTTTCCACGTCTCTACATGCCCTTTGCAAAATTAAGGGAATTTACAGACTTCAAAGAGATCTTTCCACTCTTATCTGCTCACCATCCTTCTCAAACGAGTTGCCAGTCTGAGAGACACTTGCAAAAAGTTTAGGATACTTCTAGTGCAGCATATAATTGTGGTTCAAATGGTGTCTGTCATTTCTCCATCACTCAAACTTCCACTGTTGGTTTTTGTCGCCCGGATTACATCTCCTCATCTGGACGTCAGTGCGGCCCTCCCCTGTGCGGAAAGCTGTGATGCACATGTCTGAGAGTGGGTGATAAATGCTCCCGTCCTGGGCGCAAATGGACATATATTATGACATATTTAGACAATATGTAATTAGCTTGATCTTTTACCACTTACATTTTTGAAATCCCACAACATGGCGCGTGGTTTGTCTTCTCTATCATGAGGACAATGTTTCATTCCAATGGAAATGTGTCCTTCCAAGACCTCAGCACACAGCTCGGTTACAGAGTTAAAGCGGATCTCCCCATGAGACGTGTGCTCGAAGTACTGACAAAGGAAAAGCCTGCATTAGTTTTAACAAAATCAATGACAAATCCCAAATGTGTTAACTATTTCAATCATCTAATAACTAAAACCTTTTAAATTATTGTTGGTTTTCAAGCTGAAGACATAAATGAGTATTCTAACCTGGTTCCCTCCTTGACCATGACAGCCAAACAGTGACAGATGGGATCCTGTTGGACTGTGCTCTGGGGCGTTGTAGTCCAGACACTCAGAGGGGATCCCTGAGCTGCGTACCTAGAAGGAAGTTTATCATCCAGGTTAAAAATGGTAAAGAAGTGAATAAAAAAGTACTGAATCCTTTAAATCTACTTCTTTGAATAATAAAATATTATCTGGTATGTGCATAGCTAAGTTTACAGTTATAATTATTGAAAGGAAATGAAGGAATGAATGATGAAAAACATTTGTGTCAAAACTTACTGCTCCATGCCAGCCCTCCCTGTCCTCTGGTACATGCAGTTCTGGGTAAATTTTCTTCAGATACCAATCAAAACTGTTGCACTTCAGCTTTTCTCTGAGGAGCAGCCGATGTGAAATATCTCCATAATTCTCCTGTAAGACAAATAAAAATTATGAGCTGCAATTATAAATTATATTAAAGTAATATAATGGATGTTACCCTTTCAAATGTTTGTATTCTACTACTGGTTAAGCCATAAGACAATAACATTTTAGGGCTGCACCAAAGGTAAATATTAACATCCTGATTATAAAGAACACACATCGTAGCAAGCGGGAACTGACATCCTCTGTTTGTGGATACTTAAGATAGCACTGAACACACAGACGAGTTAGCTGCAAGTAATGTCACTTTTCCCAATCACAATATTTCAGTTGTTTTCAATAATGTTCATGAAATATTGTTTAACATAGATGAGAAGATGTAGATGTAGACAACTCATGCCCTTTGTGACCATAGCCTTGATTGAATTTTACAAACTTCCAAAATAATTACTACGGCCCGTTTTTTCATCTTTAAAACCTAGAGCCAGTGGATACAAGTTCAATACAATGAATGATTTGTCAATGTTTGAAAAAAGTGAAATGCCAATTATTATTATATATCATGCCTGCCGACCTCCGCTGTGTTAGTTCTGCCATATCACTGGACAGCTTTGTGCAAATAAAGGTTTCAGATAACCAAGATATTCGGGTCAACATCAGACGGTTCTTTACATGATCCAGGATAGTGGCTGAACTAGTTATAAAACTGAAGGGCTGATAACATTCTGCTTTGACCCAGGCTTTAAAAAGTCCAACAGTCCTGGGCTGGCTGATCACACACACCTTGCTTCTTACAGTAATGTTTACCTTTTGAGCTGGAGGATTTCTTTTGTAGAAGTGCTGCTTATAAGAGTCCATCCAAACCTCTGCAGCTCTCACAGTGTTTTGGAGGAAGTTTGGTCTGGCATAAGGAGCTTTCTTTGGGAAAACATGGCCCACATGGGAGCAGGGGTGGATCTCCAGGCTTCCTCCACATTGCCAGACCTGATCGAATACAGAAAAGCAGAAATATTGTTATATGAACAAAATGGCTATGAAGTAGACTGTGTGAGAAGGGTATCAAAACTGCCCCTTAACACCATAAGGAGCCATCTCATATAAATTCGGAACAATATTTACACATTTTTTTGATACATCAAATACCAGAACAACACATACAGTACAAGATGCACTCAAATACAACAACAGAGAAAAACGATCTGGGCAGAAACTTGAGAACGCTTTACTCACCCTAAAGGAGAGTTCCAGGTTTTCTCCTCCCCACACCTCCATTCCTGTATCATATGTGCCCAGGTACTCGAAGTAGGCCTTGCTCACGGCAAATAATCCACCAGCCATTGTGGGAGACCTTTACAGAAAAAAACAATCCTCCAGGTCAATCATTCACATTTGAAATCTCTGCGTTATAAAGGCCAGATGTCCTTTCCAAATAGGCATAAGGACTTTCCACCACTGCTAATATATCCAATTGTTTTATCCAAAATGTTTTATCTCCTTGTAACCCCCAGAAATTGCCACACAACCCTCACTGATGTCGGCAATTAAAAATCTGTCGAGTACACATGCGCACGCTCACAAACAAATAATTTTCTTGCATTTCTTATTTAGGAAAGAAACAATGATGAATGACATTGGGACTTGTGACATTATCAACTCCAGATTATGCTGTGTCACTGAGCCAGCATGAGGATAGGAGGGCATGCACTAGTTTGACAGTGTCACTTCACCTGATGGGGTCAGTGCGGGACTTGCGCCTCTTGCGTTCCACTTCAGGGACTGAATGCCACTGAAAGGTGAGTCTCCAGTCAAATCCACCTATCATAGGCTCATCAGTCTGCATATAAAACTCAAAAGTGTTCCAGTCGATGGTGTCGATAACAGGACAAATGACAGTACTGGCATTCTCCCCAATCCTAAAAATGATTAGCAAAAACCTTTACAAACTAAAAAAAGAATAGAGATACTGCAATCATATACATGTATGATTAAGAGGCACACCTCTCAAGTAGTGGCTCGATCCACCCTGGGACACACTCACAGTGGCAGTCCAGGAAAGTGAGTACATCCCCTGTTGCATAGGTGGCCCCAATGAGGCGTGCTCTGACCAAGCCTTCTCTTTTGTTAGTACGGATGAGGCGTACTCGCCGCAGTTTACTGATGTAGTCCTCCAGCTTCGATTTCAAGTAATCTAGTGACACAAAACAAGAAACATAGTAGGCCATCTTGTTTCCAAGACTCAAATTACTATTTGGAGGTATGGAAATGATTCTGAAGCCCAGTCCAACTCAATTTATTTTCTCTCTACAAATTTTATGAAGTAAAAAGTATTCATCTCTCTATATAAAACAGGAATGGCTGGTTTGTGGTTGGGAGTGCCAGCATTCCCTTCTGTCACAATGTGATGTCATGTAATTTAGGGATATTCTTCAATGTGGAACCTGCATAACTGATAAACAAGTGCCAGATACTACTACACAAGAGTGTGTGCCCACCTCGATCACTGTAGTCATCAATAAGTATGATGTCCTTCAGCAGAATGGCTGGCGTTGATTCCAGAACGCTGTGAATGGTTCGGAGCAGAGTAGACCAGGCTTCGTTGTAAAAGGCTATAATGACTGTAGTAGTGGGTAACCGTCGATAGTCATACTTCTTGTTCTGACATCTTGTGAGAGACATTTTTAGAGATAGTTACAACCTGCTCAAAATGAGTTAAAGTATGCATTGATGTTAACACAGACAAATGAAAAATGCAGATTATGGGGCGGGTCCTTTACACCATCAAACATGGCACAGCCGTGCAAGCAGAAGCTGAAGAACAAACAGATAAAAGGCCAGGACTGAAAAGAAGAAAAAGAAAATCTCAAAAGCAAACATGAATAAGAGACAGAGAATGACCACACTCAAGTCAAACTGAAGTGACCTGCCATAGTTACAGCCGAAGAATTCCACTTTGAACAGTGCAGAGTCTGGTTGGTTCAAAATGTAATAAAAATTTAAACTTGTCCTAATGACAGAATGGAATGTAAAATCTGGTCTTTATTTAAAGTAATTTATAAAACATTCTATTTCAAGCTTTGGATAATGATATTAAAGAATAGGTGAGCAGTCTTCATGAGTTTCCTTCACAGAGAGTAGCCAGCGGTTCCATGAAGATCAGATGCAGGGCTAGTAACAGACTAGAGCTCAGACTAGAGCCACTGCTGCTATACATTGAAAAGTACGACGAGCAGTTGGGCAAGATGTTCACAGTTCATCTGGGAAGTCCATGGGATTTCCCTGGATGAGATTATATATATATATATATATATATATATATATATATATATATATATATATATATATATATATACACAAATATACACACAATATATACACATATATTGCAAAAAATCTATCATATATATATATATATATATATATATATAGATAGATTTTTTGCAAAAATCAAAAGTTTATTGAGAATGAATGGTTGTATTTAAATCCATCACATTTAATTTAGGTAATAGATAGGCGTGATTTCCATCCATCCATCCATCCATTTTTTTACCCTTTAATCCATTTCTGGGTCAGGGGGGTGGCAGTCAGAGATGCCACCCAAGTCTCATAGCACCAGCCCCTCACTGACCCTCTGCAGGTGGTGAGTCCACAGGAGGACGGCTGCTCTGAGTGTGAGCATAGCCTTGATCTTTCAGTGGGGGCCTTGGGCAAAGTGGGGTTAAGTGTCTTGCCCAAGGACGACAGCAGTCATCAGTGGGAGTCGGTGGAGAAGGTGTAGAGGTGGGAATTGAACCCACGACCTTCAGGCCTGAAGGCCAATGCTCTACCAACTGAGCTACTGTCGCCGTGATTTATGCAGTGAAAAGACAAGTCTGACAGTTGAGCAGGACATCTGGAGAACATTATGGAGTAAAGAAAATGGCGGAAGACAAATGTTGTAGAGTGCTTAAGAGTTGTTAACATGACAGCACTGAGGGAATAAAAACGTCATAGAATCTATCTGAAGGCATGGCAGCAAAACGGCACTAGTAAGCCTAGAAGCATCGCATTATGAATCTCACTTTGCTCAAGCTAATCTCTTGTAGCATATCTCAGTGCTTGTTTAGCTTAATAGGAGCTCTACACTAATCCAGAAATGGAATAGCATTTACATCTGCACTGCATGAACTGTCTAACACCACACAATCAAACAAAGAGTCACTTGTGGTCATACTCACTCGCTCATCCTATTGTCCTGAATGCGTCTATGGAGCGAGATTTTGTCACTGACGAAGGTGTTGATTGCATATCGCTCCACGGCGTCCTGCTCTTGCTTCTTCTCCTCCTCGTTGAGGTTGAGGACCGCGGCCCGGCCCCACTCGCCTGGGGCATTGCTGTCCACAGGTGGTTTGGGATACAGGGGTCTGGACAGTAAGCCTTCAATGCCGATCTCATCCAAGACCAACTGCCTGGCCTTCATCTCCTCCTCCTCTTCCTCATCCTCTCCAGCATCAGAGAACGAGGAGCGGGCCAAGAACAGGTACCCCAGCCACAGCAGCCACAGGAGGAAGGTAGCTTTGGCCAACACTCCCAGTTTTCGAGAACAGCGCCCCCTCATGACAGACAGCAAGGAGGGTGCCTTCACCTTTTCTGTGCCCCAATAGACACAGGCCTCTGCAGAAAACATAATGTTCATTTGAAATGATAATAATACAACTGTGTTAATCATAGACAATGCAACAGTGTTGCAAGACACAACCACAGAGTTCCTTATTGTGATTATGGAGATAGTAATGTGACCACATGACACAGAAGACCTCTTTTAGCCTTGGGAATAAATGATAATAATTAATATCTTGGTTTACCTTGGTGTCAAAACATTATGTTGTTATTTTTATGATAAATATTGTGACCTCAATCTTATCAGATTTAACAAAAAGTATTGTATTCACAAACTGTATATTATTAGAGTAGTTTGGTTGTATCTTTAATGATATTGTGTAAAACCCAGAGCAGTCACAGTCACAGAGTCACACAGAGAGAACCCAGTTTCTTTTATGGCAACACCACAGCTCTTTCACTGGCTGCTGTTGGGCTCAAGCCAAAAGGACTGAGGGAGTCCTGAGGTTACAAAATGGAGACGCCCGCAAACAAAAACCCCTTTATTGACTGCCCATCACACCTTGGACTCTCTAAATCTGATAGCCTGACTGGGGAGCTGCTAGGACACAGAAAGCTTTGGTGCAGTGAGTCCTAAAGCTTTGGCACTGGTACAGCCACAATAACTGTATATCACTGGTATTCATCACAAAAGTTATTGTGATGTTGGTGAATAATGCAATTATAAAATATCTATAAAAAACAGGACTATGGTTGGCAGGAGTGTACACAAAAGTTAGACTTCTCCTTAAATCATATTGACAGGTTGGCAAACTGGTGACATATAGACATAAAGGCATGGACTTGGAGGCATGGAGCTTTTCAGCAGACAACTTGCAGAACAGGCAATACAGGAAGTTGTTTATACTTTATGGAATTGTTCATTTTCACTCTAGAAGTTGTTTATAATGGAGAAAATCAGAAACATAAAAACATTGATTTGAATAATATTGACGTGTAGGTCATTCATTTCAAAAGGTTAATGATTTATCAACAGTTATTGGCGTGTGTTCTACCAGAGAGCGAGGTTAAGTTCAATTCAAATCGATTCTAAAAGGCAACAACAAAATTAACATTGCGTCTGACATCAAACCAAACTAACGGAAGGGGAAAAGGGGAGAGAGAGAGAGAGAGGTTGAGAGAGAGACGCCGCCATCACAGAAGTACAAGCACGGACACAAAGTTACAAAGTGACGAAAATCTGCGTTTGTTGTTAGAATCTGTAACAAACGCGATCTTTGAAATAACCCCGAAAGTGCGCACAGTGGCGGAGATCGTGAGTCCGTACCTTCAGGGTAAGTTACATGGCGGTTCGTGGATGTGTCTCGGGTGTCTGATCGCTGGGCTCCTCGATGATCACCCCTGGGTGCAGATGTCAGCAGCACACATCCTCCTCCACACGCCGCTGCTCACCAACCAAACCAGTGCCGCGTCTCTCACTGCGCCTTTCCGGTCTTTCCACAATAATACTTTGGATTCTTGCGCATGGTGAGCTCAGATTCCGATTCCGATTCCGATGTATTTAATTTTTTTGCCATTTGTAGTAAAACCCCATTGGAATACATCCGCAAAAGTCTCCATTGTGCACAAGACACGTACATAAAATAAAACAGGTTAAAAGTGCAGAAATAAAACAAACAAAACAGGAAACAATTGACACTGTGAAATCGATTAACTAAAACAGTTTCAATACAAAGGCAATATCATTAAAGGGCTCTGTTTAATTGGACAGGTTTATAGTGCTATGATAAGGTGAAATAAAAAATGAAAAAATAAATAAAAATAAAGCATTTATGGACGATATAATGTTATAAAGAAATATTGTGATAAACAATAATGAAATGCCGTTTTGTTGTTATACAATTAAAACATAGTTGGATAATATCAATGAAGTAACTGTAATTGCCAAACAAAATTAATCAATAAATAGTCATAATAGTAACTACAAAAACAAACAAAAAAGTACTATGGTAAGGTGAGTACTGCATGTATATGTCACTGTATGGCTGTCATTTTTATTAGATGGTTTCTTGTCAACCAAATTTATATTTAAATTATATACATTTGTATGTGTTTATTTACCTTTATATTCAACCCAAGTCAAACTCGCATCTCTTACTAATTATAGTTTTATTTCATTTTCATTTCAGGCCGTTGTTTTTAATGTAGTTGAAGTTTTGTGAGTACAGGAGTAATATTTTTTTTTTTTGCGCGTTAATTTGATTGAGCCATACTGTTTACGTGTGTACTCTCTCAGTTGTAAAGGGATACTGTTTACTGTTTATCGGCCAAAACTGGGCAGGCATTCCAGGAGCCTATTCTCTGTGCTCTGATACAGGGATGGTGCACACAAATCAAACAGTGTAAATATGGCCAGAGCCAAGCCTCAAGAAAAAATCTGGACAACTCTGAATGACACCTGCACCACTTGGTCCCCTGCCAATGTGTCCTTTTGTCCTGCCATTCCCCTACTCCTCACATCCACTCTTTTTTCTCCCCAGTTGACACTTTTCTGTTTGCAAGGATAGTTTTCCCCCCATTTAGAAGTGAAAGGGCTCCCATTTCCCTGATAAGGATCTCAGGCTTTGACATGTACAAGGTGGGCTCTTGTACAGGTTCAGCATTTCAACCTTTCACTCATTCATACTGCAGTCATTAGTGTCGGTGGTCATGACTTCATTATGCGGGAGACTGACAGCCGAGATCCTGTTCTTTTGTACTTTTTCATACACTGAATAGATGCAGTAATTGCCATATGATGAGGTTACTGTACAAATTCAAAGAGGTTTTTCCTGAATCCAATGTTTTTGTCCGTGCTAAATAGTTTTGTATAGCCCTTTGATATACTGCTCTGAGACTAAGCCTTCCATGACTTTGTTGTGCTCAGCAGCTGCACAGATTATGATTAAAATCTCTCTCATTTGAAGAACATGAGTCAAGCGGATTTGAAGAAAGCCGTCAGTGTGTGAGAGTTGACCCAGGGCCACAACGAAGGATTATTGAGGAGGTACGACGAAAGCCCAATGAATATTGAGGCATTGTGCGCCATCTAGTGGCGCCTTTCGATAGGCTACAATGGATTCTTTTTTTTTTATTGTTAATAATGCACATAATACAAACAAAACAGGTACCTTACATAATATTTACACAAAAGACAAAGTCATACAAAATAAAAAATAAAATAAAAGGCTGTAATGCATTCAAGTCATGGAAAGTAGTGGATACGCAGAGGAGTCTTTACTGATTACTTCACTGATATCTTGGTCAGCACCGTGTTTGGCTCTTGTGTTGAGGATATACTTCTTAATACCTAGTAAGAAGTGTCTAACTGACTTGAAATTAGTTAGATTTATTTAAAAACCTGCAGAACACAATTTCAAATATCTTCACAATAATACAAGTTTGAAAAGGGGTTGGAGGAAGCAGCAGATGCTTATCTGTTCCCAACCCCCTCTCACCACTCATAGTACTCAAACAACTTGAAACTTTTGGAAATAAAGACAACAGTGAAGCGAGAACTAGTAAACTAGTAATAGTACCTGGGTTTATGTATTTCCTTTTTGGTTTTATAAGAAACTGAAAGGTCTTGTTTATTGATAGGCATTTTGGCATTGCACATCTAGAGACTGAAAATGTTGCCAATTCTCTTGATATAAATAGCATATATAAGATAAGACTTGTTTAAGAATTAATTGAATACAAATTATACAGTACAGTTTTATATCCGAATAATACAATCGTGTCAGAACCAGAGAAGAGCAGCTATGCTTCAGGCTGGGCTCAGAGGAGAGGAGGGCGGGGAGTGAGGAAGGACAGAGGCCTGAGCTATGGCTTACCTCACGACACTTCTCCATGAGGCAGATTCATGAAAAGTATAGTAGGATTTATAAGTTCAGCTTCAACTTCATCCCTGGCCTTTCTGGCATCATCCCTGGACTTCATGACGATAGATTTGAAGCCATTACAAAACAGCTGTAATTATATTGAGAGTAGTTTACAAGTCACACGGTCCTTCCTTCCTGCTGCAGTCAGACTGTACAACAAACAATGAGGTCTAATGAACACTGCCGACACTTCACTCTCTGGGTGAAAAAGGTTGGAGACACCTGCATTAGATCATTTCCAAAGACAATGTTATGCACTGTATGGATAAATACACTTTTAAATCTTTCACAATTTCACAACTGTCTGTCACATATGGTTGTGCTCTTCCAAAAGAAAATTGTGGTTGGGTGATTATATTCGTACTATACTTCTGAAAGCCACTTTATAGTTCTTGAACAAATAAAATGTTGTCTTTTTGGCTGTAATCTGAGGCAACCCCTAACAACGATCATTTAAGATAATCTGATTTGGAAAAAAATGAAAGTGGATTTTAGATGGACCACTTCCTGCGTGCTGATTTTTGCTTCTCAGATGTTTTTGTTCACCTTGCAAAAGTGTGGAGTGCAGCAGTTATTGAGCAGGGGGCTCACTGTTCCAGAGGCAAATAACAGAACTGTGGAGCTGTTGTTGTGCCACGGTGAGACGCCTGAATCAGTGAACATTGGACACTGATTGGAGGTGGCACTTTGGAGGTTTTTGCATCGTGTCAAATGTGTCAAATCTAACTTGGCACATAGCAAAGTTGTAATTTGTCTGACGCCAAAAAAGTGAAAATGAAAAACACAAATGGAGAACATGAAATAATAGATCACATTCTTGTTCAGTGCAGAGCTAGAATTCAAAATGACACGTTTGTTTCATGGTCTGTTGCTCTATGTACTCCCTGCATGCTAAATGACTAAAAGAGGCTGAACACTGAGGACAAGTGTTTCATTTTCTTCAGCAGTGCAGTCCCTGGCCTGTGTGTGTAGTTGAGTGCCCATTCTGTTGTTGTGTGTGTTGGTCAGCTCTGCCAAGGCTGTGTAGGACAAAGCAGAATCCACTTGTCTATGCAGCAGGAGTCATTGCAGCCAAATCAGCATTATGGAGCGAAGAGGCGAAAGACGAGAAGAGAGACAATCCCGACGCAGCAAAGAGAGAGTGTGCGTCCCTGGTGTTGATTGTGTGTCAATCAGCCCACTCAGCAGTCAGAGCTCACCACGCAGGGACCAGGAAGTATCAAAAACCCACGGGCAGCACAAATGTAAGGGTACTGCAATGTCAGCACAATCGTTTTTTGGGGCTTTGTTTACAATATTCTATTGTTATAACCTCAGTTAACTAAGTGTAAAGGATTATGTGTCCAGTAAATATAATATTATCTAAATATTATCACTGGTTATGTGGTTTGATCAAATTATTCAAAAGAGTAATACCATCCTTTTATGTTTGTAAATCACTAATATTCAATAGACTGAACATGAAAATGCCAAAACAGGTCAATTGAATGAAACTTGAGCAGCAAAGTTCAAAATGTCAATTTTCAGTAATTACAGTATAATGATAATGCATCGGTTTTATATAGCACTTTGCAAAACACTCAAAGACGCTTCACTCACTTCAACTCATATAAAGGTATTATACCACATTTTGTTGTGTAATGTAGGCTGCAACACAGACATTTCTAAACTTTTTTTGTGAATTTATTTTTGTGTGACCATCTAAAACATTTGGAACTTTTTGAACATCTGATTCACTTATATGTCAGATGACCAGGGGATAATGGTATGAGTAACTGCTTGTTAACTGCCAGATCTGTTTCAAACAAAACTGAAAAGTACAATTAAGACAAATGCTTATGACAAATGCAGCCAGATAGAGCTGTGTGTTGGTCAGCTCTGCCAGTAGGAGAAGCAGAAGACTGGAAGAGCTGGTGTGTCATTTGCAAGACGCTATTGTTTGAAATGAACAAGAAACAAAACCATCATTGAGGATTATCACACTGCTATTAAAATGGGTATATGTTATTTGAAAGTGTTAACATTTTCAAGATTAATTGATATCTCCATTTGAAATGTTTGGTCAGGTATGGCGTAAATATAACCTATAAAATTGCTTTGAAGTATTACAAGTTTTCAGCATTACAAGTGGGATATGCCAGAGAGAATTCCCATGAATAAACAATAATAACAGCGCTGGAACAGATTCAATGGGTTTTGCCTTGACATTTTGCTAAAGAAACATATTGCAGCATTGTGAGTTGAATTATGTTAAGAAAAACACATCAAAAATGTAATTTTAGTTTGTCAAGAGTTTACTGGAGGATGATAGTCTATATTTACACTTGAAGTTTAGTTTATGACATATTTGAATCTTGTCAACTTTTGCTGAACCTTGTTATGCCCTGTATGTCCTCACAGTAAAGTGGCAGCTGTCTAAAGTGCTGCTCTGCTAAAATTTAATAATTCAATCCCCAGCTCGTCTATTTTCCCCTGCCTTTGTGTGTGGGTCCTCTTCAGCCCTTATCTGAGCCTGCATGTCTCTCAGCACTCGTTCTCCTCTCAATCATTTTGCACGTCTTATCTGCCTTGGCTGCCAATCTCATCCCACCACATGCTTCTCATCTTTCAATGCTTTTTGAGGCAGTCTTTAAAAGCTTAAAATTAGTCCACACTGATGTTGGATCTTTAAATATATCTTATATATAGTCATAGTCAGGTTGCGTGACTGTCATAACTATGGCTAAAACCTTTGATTTTATTAAGCTTGTTCATTAAGCCAGTCATTTGCTAGTGACCTTCAATGACCACATGCACACGCGGGCATATATCCAGTCAGTAGAACTATTTGATGATGGTATAAGAATTTAAGAACAAAAGAAACACACACCAAAAAGTCTTACTTTACGGTGCAGATGCAGGGAGAAATATACAGTATAAATAGTCAAAAAAAAAGCATCATACCATCTCAAAAATAAGAATACAAGCTTTTATTACAAGCATAATATAAAAGTTGTAGTAATTTCAAAGTCTTACTTATGATCACAGCAAAGATACACATGAAGCTAGAGAGGAGGAAACTCTACATGTGCACCCGCAGAAATCAGTCAATCACACTCATCTGGCAGCTCCGCATGGCCAATGTCTCACCTGACTGCATTTATGTACTGCCCTGCATTAACATGGAGCTTTCATATTGTGCAAAGAAGCTTTACTTTTGTGCAGTAAGTTTTTGTTTGTGCAGCAACCCTCCTCCTCCCCATCAGCACCTCATCTGCCAGACCAGCTCTTCAACCCCTTTCTTACCCCCACCAGGGTCTTGGCCTCATGGTATCTCATAATCTCCATTTTGACAAAGTGTTGTTCGTACTATCGACTCGCACTCTGGTAAATAGTCTATTTTGACAATAAACATGCGTCCCATCCCTACTAATAAAGAGTCAGGAATGTGAGCTATGTCATCTTTAAAAATGCATATCTAAATATATTGGTGATTGGTGAGTACTGTAAATTGAATAAAAGAACAGCACTAACAGCACTTTGAATGGGTGGTTTTGGTTGTCTACACAAGCCTTCTCATCCTGACAGCAGCACGGAGGCATTAAGGGCTTAGACAGTCGGTGCGTGACTTCCAAACAAACACACACTGACCTTGGCACAAAACTATAAGTGAGCCGAGGAGGATTGCTGGTTTGAAAATATGCCATTTCATTTCAGTGGTATTAAAGAACATAAAAAATAAGATTCGCTTTGAGTGTGGTTTTGTCAAGATGCTAGGTAATAAAACAAAGTGGGTATCTTGGAATGACAGAAGAATAAGGAATAGACAAATACTAATAATAGGAAAAGACGCTTCAGCTTTCTGGTCGGTCTGGCATTGAAGTGGAGAATGCTGTCATTATCCTCCTCCTTTGAATACTATACCACCTGGAGAAGCCCTGCTCTGCTGTGAGGATTCTGTTTGATTTCTCCAGCGCATTCAACAACATCCGGCCACAGCTTCTCAGGGACAAGCTGAACCTGACCACCTCATGGGCAGACCCTTTTTTGTGAGAGATAAGGACTGCGTGTCTGGGGTTCTGACCTGCAGTTCCATCCAGGGCTGTCCCTTGGGCACATTGGAGCAGGTAGGAGCCTGGAGGATCCTAGACAAATTAACATTGAAATTTCCCCACTGTGGGACGAATAAAGGAATTCTTATCTTATCTTATCTTATCCATGCTGGACCATGACTGTTACCCCCTGGACAACACAGTCTGCTCTGGAGAGTAGCTTCAATGACAGACTGATTCACCCTTGCTTTGTGAAGGAGAGGTTCTGCCGGTATTTCCCCTTGGCTGCTTTCAGATTGTACAATGAACAATGAAGAATAATGAACACTGCTGACCTGACCTCACATATCATGCATTTGTGCAATAATGTGTTGCTAACATGTACAATAGTTTCAACATTGTGACTATTTGACTTACTTACTTATTACTTCAATATTCTTGCAAGATGTATACATACAAGTATATATTTCCTTGCACTAGAGTTTGAAGGTTTATACTTAGAAGCAAGTATGGAGTTGTGATGTACTTTATATTCACATCTAGTGTTGTGTGCTCCTGTAGAGTGTGATGCAACACTGGCATCTCCCCTCTATGAAATAGATTAGGGATAATCTTAACAACAACTAAATATAATGTTATACTGTCGGATTGTACGCTTCTCTAGTAACTATTGTCTTCAGTAAAATATGCTTTTAATTTATCTGGGCAAATTTTGAAATACCACAGATTAACAGAAAGGTTTATCTTATCTTATCTTAAACTGATTGGGGGACATGTAGGTGCAATCAGCATGCCACTTTGCTTGTCATATCTGTGGAGATTAACTCTGCTCACAGCTCTGTACACTTGTAATTCAATTTAAATCAGTTGTTTTAGTATAATATAATCATCAAGGTTAGCATTTTAGGACAAAAAGATTTTTCTGTTAATAAAACACTTGTGGTCGTGGGGAGCAGTCTAAGCAGAGACGCCCAGACTTCCCAATCCACACACATTTCCTCTAGCTCATCCGGGGGAATCCCAGACACACGCCTGGTACACCTGCCCAGGAGCAGGCATCTGAAACAGCCACATTTGAACTGACTCCTCTCAAAGCAGCGGCTCTACTCTGAGTTCCTCCCGTGTGACTGAGCTCCTCACCCTATCTCTAAGGGTCGTGGAAATGTAGATTGACCTGTACATTAGCTCCCTCTTCATAAAAACAGTCTGATGCAGTGACCGCATCACTGCACATGCTGCACCAATCTCAGCACCGCTCTCCCTTCACTGTAAACAATGTTCTCCCTCCTGGGTCACCAAATCACTAGTACTTTAATCTAAAAATTAGATTACGTAAAGTCAGAAGTTATTGTAACAATGTTTTAATTAATATAAAAATTATACTAAAATGTAAATTAAAGTTTGAATGCTGAGACGTTACAGAACATCCTTCCTCGCTACTCGAAATATATATATGGCAAAGTTTTCACATGACCACATTTATACCTGAAGGAAAACAGTTGCAACAGTGGACACAGCAATTGGCAATAAAGTCTTCAGTGGGGTGCCAGGTTGGTCAGAGCATTAGTGCCTTAATGGGTGTGGACCGTGAAGAGAGAGGGCCGCTCCACTGGCTGCAACACAAGACACGAGCAGCACGACAAACCAAACCAATGTCCTGTGTTGCAGCCCCTGGTCCAGCCAGAGGGTCACCTTCAGCACCGCACCGAACAGCCAAACTCTCATCAACTGTGAGGAGGAAGCAGAGATGAAAGTTCATTATAATAGATTCTGTGTGAAAGTAACGGAAAATACTAATGCAGAGTGAATGAGGCCAATAGACTGCCAGAAGGTCACTCCACCTGCAAAGACATCACATTCATCATCTGACCGAGAGAAAATGTCCCCTTCACCTTGAGAAATAAAGGCAGTTGGCCCAATTCATCTCATTTCCCTGCTTCAGGGGGAAAACGCTCCTCTGGCCTAAATTGCTTTACTGGGAGGTTAATGACTAGTACCACGAGTCTCTAAAAAAAAAAACAGAACAACTGCGACGTCCTTAGGATTTGAGGCAAACACCCAGGATTCTTTCTTCTTAAAAAAAAAGAGAACTTAAAAATTCTGAAAAATAGGCTGTGTGACTCTTTGTCTGTACGTCTGTCTATCTATATGTGTGTGTGTGTGTGTGTGTGTGTGTGTGTGAGTGTGTGTGTACGCGTGTGTCTGTCAGTTTGTCTGCAAAGGTAAATCTTTTGTCTGACCCTATTGAAAGTACTAATCCTGTCAGTTACAACAATTATAAGCTTAGAAGCAAAAGAAAACAATCCAACAGCAGCCCCATGACTCTGTTGCTCTTCTGTTTTGTCTCTCGTTACAAACATTAAAAGGTCATAGCTGAGTGAGCCCTAAGCTGCTGGAATCACACGTAAAGGTCTGAAAATGTCAAGCCTTCACCAACAAAATACTACGCACCGGCGTTTTCAATGGCTTTTACCCCTCGTTCAACAAAAACATTCAAGTCGGGCTCTTTGAAATGTTTACACCATCTGATTTAAAAAGCTATTTAGATGGTGGCATGGTTCAGCAAATCCTGCCTTTCCTCTTCTGTCTTATTACGTCTGTGAAATTGAGTCCAACCTAGATTTTGAATGCTACAGGGATATAAACTCAGAGGACAACTGAAAGCAGCTGAAGGACAAAGTAAAAAAAGAAAAGGAGCCACACTGAAAGAACCTGCGTAAGTCATTTGAATTATTTTGCTCAACCCAGATGAACTCAAATATGATGAGTGAAGCTGATGTATAAACTCAACACAAAACTATAAAAAATATAACAACAATGGAATACCACTCACAGGTGTCATAAAGAGGAAGGACAAAGGGAAATGATTGGTGTCCCTTAAACCGTGACTTCTTACATCAAACAGATTTGGCATCACCAGATCGAAACAATAACAGGACTTCTCCAGGTCAGAACTAAACCTTTAAATGGCCTACACCGTTGCAATACTATAAATTACATATAACAACATTATATGTAATTTATTTAGTAAATTATGCAATAGTGTTCTTGAATAACCAAAAGTCATTTATCCAACTTCTAGAGCTCTGGGGTATACTATTTGGTAAGAGAAGAAAAGAAGAAGAAAGTCCTTTACTCGTCCCACAATGGGGAAATTTCAGGTTGATGCATACATATACATATACTTACACATATACACATACACATATACACATACACATCAAGGCAAGCAGCGAACATCACTTCCGCACCCCTTAGAGGCAAAGTGGATTAAGTGTCTTGCCCAAGGACACAACGACAGCAGACATCAGTGGGAGTCGGCGGAGAAGGGTACGCACTGAGGTAGTCTTTACAGTTTTTCTAATGTGGTATTACTGCAAATGGCAAATAAAATCTTGAATCTAAATTAATATACTATGCCACATGTTAATATTGCTTAATAAATGACAATGCACTCATCACTCAAGACAAATCCAAATAGCTCTTTGGGTAAAACCTGAGTTTAAAAAAAGGCAACTATTCTGCAGAGAAAAGACAAGGAGAAATTCTTCACCAAGAAGTCTTTATCAGAATATATATATATATCTTTCTTCTTGTGTGTACCTCAATTCTGTTTTTTTCTGTTTATTTTTTTTTTATTTTTATTAAACAACATTATTTGCAGCTGTGTAAATTTTCAGTCCTTTTATTTTAAATCCTGACATAATTATTTGCACAGGATTCTGATTCCTGCACGGAAGAGCCTCACAAAGGACCCATCCTGTCTGTTTGATTTGTACAGTGATAGAATGCAAAAGAACACAACATAAAAGTACAGCCCGGATTTATTTGAGTCAGGATTTATTTGAGTCAGTCAGCAATGATATATGTTTGATCTGGTTTGATTGAAAGTCAGTTTGAAGCAAATTCAGCTGTTTGAGGCACATAAATATTTTTGTGTTATGAAAATTATTAAAAGTTGACCTTGTGATAATAAATGTGATTCTCTTTTGTCAAATTGCCCAATCCTCTGAGGAAAACAAGTACTCATCATAATGGGATAATTACTGCATTATGATGAGAGCTTACATATCAAATGCAAACATATCAAGAATCTAGAGAGGTAGCCACCATCCTGTGGACGAAATCCTGGCACATTCTGCAAAGATGTTGCACTATTATTGAGAAGCCCAGCGGGTGGAGGACTCTATTTGAAGTTGCAGTTCTTGGAGCTATCTCAGCACTATCAGAGCCGGTGTTGCATTTCAGAACAGATAGCTGGCTCAATAGCTGCTGGGTGTTGCTTTTCTCTGCAGATGCTGACAGGACACTTCACAATATAGTCGTGTATCACCAGCCAAAACGCCCCAAATCCAATTGGACCAGGGTCAAAGAGGAGTAAAGTGTGCATGCCTGCTCATCCACCAGGTGCGGTGCAAATGGAAAGAGATCTTATTGTAAGTAAGTAAGTAAGTAAGCTTTATTTATATACCGCCTTTCACAGACCAGAGTCACAAAGCGGTTTACAATTGTTATTTTTGGGCACTTGTCCTCTCACTCCACACAGAGATGGGAGCGGGGTCGCATGCCAGACCTATTGGACATATTTTTAGTGGTAGGGGAAACCGGAGTACCCGGAGGAAACCTACGCAGACACGGGGAGAACATGCAAACTCCACTCAGAAAGGCCCTTGTCCGGCCGGGATTCGAACCAAGGACCTTCTTGCTGAGAGGCGAGAGTGCTATCCACTCAGCCACCGTGCCGCCCAATTGTCAATAAAATCTTGGCAAACATGTATACATAAATATACAATCATATTTCTATTATTGTGATTTGATAAAGTTAAATGGGCATCTATTATATTCATGTGAGAGGTATAATGTAAGGGTCGTTTATCTCTTTGTGACAGTGTGGTGCTGAGGAAGTGAGCAAATCCGTTTATCCTCATAGTCGAGACAGTTCACTCTGACGCGTCTGTGTGCGCGCGTGTCTGACAGGGAATGATATATTTAATTCTGGAACAATGTGAGAAGTCACAAGCAATACATTGAATGCACACATTGTTATGCACACTATGGTCGTTAATAGAACAGCTCCCTTCTACCCGAATCAGCGGTGCCAAGAGCAATTGATAGCGCTCAATTAGGCTAATAAAAACAAATCTTTTCAGCCTAATACAGCCTTGCTAAGCACAGTTCTGTAGGTGTACGGCTATAGTCATTCACACGTACCAATATTTGGATGAGTCCCGGTGAGGATGCACGCAAAATGTCCCGGAACAACGAACAGCATTTTCATCTCCGTGTGAAGTGAATTCTCGAGTAATCTTCATAACTTGTTCCGAACTGTCATCCCAAAATTCCTCCAGAGAACCCGTTTTCGTCCCTGCTCCGGAGATAGATCCTCACCAAGTGCTGCCCATCAGTGCGCACACAGGAGCAGACTCTCCCACTGCAGCCGCTTAAAGTATCCCGTTTCAAATGGAACGCACGCGTCCTCTCTCCAAAATTCCCTCTAACCTTGAGATGATTGTCTAGACGTTCAATAATTAGGGATGACTTAAAAGTGTACGAGATGAAAATCACTTTATAAACCAAAAACATGTAGCCAGTTGTATCTTCCCGGGATGAGTGAAGCGATGACGACATCAAGGAAAGTCACTCCAAACCACAGTATGCCATGCTGCAACTCCACAGTTTGGATTGAACGTAGTCTACGGCGATAACGTCGTAATTAGAAGAAAAAAGAAAGAAAGAAAGTCCGCATTTACGTTATTTTTAACGTCATTGATAGGGAAAAGACGTAAACAGCCCAGTAATATTAGTTAAGGGAAAAAAAAGTATAATATAAACATAAGACAAAAACACCAAAACTAACAAAATTCTGATGAGAAAAATACAGATCGTAGGCCTAAGGATAGGTTGCACTTCATTTCCCAGAATGCCTTCCTGCCTTCGTCAGTAAATCGCGCCCCCACGTGTCTTGTTGCGGTTGTTGTGTCAGTTACTCGCCGTGCCCTGTTTTACATTACTCTAACTCTTTGACAGACCGTCTCACAGGTATCTGACACACATTTGCATCTCTGTGAAAGCTCTGAGGTGACTCTTGAACAATAACGAGTGTAAACTGTCACTGTTTCCTCAAGCCTCACTGCTGAACATGAAGACTCCGCTGGACCAAAGCGCGACCAACTTTCTGATGGAGGCTTCTCTGCTTTACAAAGACACATGCCCGGAGCTCTCTCGACACTTGCTGTAAGACAATACTTGTTGCTCATTCCTTTTTTCTCTCAACATGCTGCGTTTGTCCCATCGTCTGTAAATCTGTAGTTTCATATGTTGGCCGCTAGGTGGCAGGCATGTACCAAGAACTACCATAGATCTATAATAATAACGGAGAACTACACACAATATCAGTAACCAACGATGGCTATTAAAGCTTAAGACTTAGAAGGTTATAATAAGACAAACGTGTTAAGAAGCTAGTATTGCTAAGCCCTAAACATAAGGAGACAAAATGAACTTTATACATTTGATAGCTTTTAAAATATTGACTGTCAATAAACTATGTAGTAATGTCTAGTGGAAATACAGGCTGATATAACCTACGTTTATTGGAATCTGACCCTTAAAACATAGTTTAAGCGTTAAACTATACTTTTGTAATATCTTATTCTCGTATTTGCTGACTGTAAATTCACCTCCTAAGCCAATATACTTATGAGCATCTGTATGTAAGTTTGAAGTCCTGTCCCTTGTTTGACTTGGGTTTTGTCCACGTTTATATCATAGACCATCTGTGGTCCTTAGCCATAATCTCTGTACATGTACCAAACGTTAGACAATAAAACATATTGTCATATTGGCTCATTTTTAGCTGGTTGCATGAGCTGACAGTTGCATTCATACCTTTCACAAATTCAGCTATACCTAATTTTAATATTATTCTAATATTATTCTTTTACACCATTGATAAAACATAGTTGAATATTTTGACTGAGTAAATGGCATTATTGTGTGTCTGTGTGTGCCGGCTGTTATGGTTTTGATCCTGCGTCAGTGAAGTAGTGGGCGTTTGCTATTACTCATACTTACTACTGGATATCTGTGACTGCCTTCTGCCACTGATCTCACCTTCTGTCAGTGTCGGGCTGATATTGACAGTGTCCCTGTTTGTTGTATTTCTTTACAATCTGGTTTGTGTTATTCTTACTACAGCAGGGCCATAGGAAGTGTGTATTCCTTTAGTGGGATATTCAGTGGTGGTGATTACTTGTAGGACTTCAAAATGAATGCCTTGAAACTTCAAAATGTACTACTCTTTATTTTGAACTAAATTCTGCATTCAGAATTTCAAATCTATTCAAATATTACTGCCATCTCAATGTTGGTGAGAATTATTTCAAATGGATATATCGCCAAAATTGGGCAGTCCTAATGTGAGCTACAGACATTATAGTGCATCAGACAGATGAAGAGCACTATTCTTATCTGTATGCACATGTTGCTTATGGCAAAAATCAACAAATAAAATTGCTTTACATATTATAGTTTTTTGAGAGCGCCATGAGGCCAGACATACACTTGCACTATCTCACTTGTTTTTCTCATGTGGGACTTTAGCTGTGGCATGTGTGGTCAAAGTAATTCATTATATTATCTACTATGATCAATGGTGATAATCCAAATGAACTCTGGTTTATTACTGGGGCTTTGTAACTTGAGACATGCGATACAATACTCGGCCACTGCGATTTATAATGCTATGGTTTGTTTTTTGTTATTGGGACACTAAATTACAGCCCTCCAAATCTAAACAAGACCATCTGTTTTTTTGTTTTTTTTTTACGATTTCTATGACATATTCTCTAGCATACTCATAAAGTCAGATTTAATATCTAAGATTATTTCAGACTTACCCAAAGCCTTATATCTTTAGTGCCTATCGCTAAAGTCTGTGTGCTCTTAAATGGAAATTCCTGCTGGATGTTAAGCTGTTAATGGGAAAAGTCAAATGGAGTCATCTTAAGAAATGTTCCTAACACAAAATATAGCTGCTTCTTTCAGTCAATTCTCAGCCAAGATTTGAAGACGAGCTACAATTATCAGCTATACTGTAATTGAGCTCTAAGCACTTTTGTATCTAAGACCTTGTGAGAATGTTCAAGGCCCATGAGTCATTTTCATTCTTCCATAACAGTCAGTCTGCGCTGGCGTCATTGTTACTGTTGCTGGCTTTGGTTGGTAGTTCTTTGTGACTAGGCATCCGCATATAATCCAATACTTTTTATAATTCAAATGTGGCATGAGCTTTCAGATGGAGGTTTTGCAGACAGCCAATGTATGTTATTCCTCACCGTGTCCAATGTCAATGCAGTGCTCACGTGTGACATCGAATAGCTCAGAGTATCAACACAAGGCGGTTTCAGCTGCCGTCAGGTCTGCTCCAAATCACCCCCCTTCCCCAAAGATATGCAGCGTGTGCATGTCCCTCAGCCACACGTGCTCTTGCTTTGGCACAATGTTTCTCCATTGATTTTGCACACCGCTAATTTTAGACAGATTTAGCTCTGGTTTAGTGTCTGTCTCAAAGTGGAAATGAAGCTTAGACAGATGCCCTGTCTGGTTAGTGTATACAAATCTTTTCCATAGGTCTGCACTGTTATAAATTATATCACTGGGCATATGCTGTTCTGGTTAACATTTTTTTTCTGTTTAGGCAAGGCTCGGTACAAGACATGGGTAAGTCATATTATATTATAATGTTATCAATTTCAAAAACTGGAGCGCACCAGAGCTCCCGTGGGGACTCAGTCTCCACGCACACCGGAGCTCCCGCTTCTTGAAGAACATGTATTCATTTTCCCATCTTTCTTGAAATAGCCTTCCTTCATCTTAATTTTTATTTTAGTTGGATATTGTAGTGTAATTTTGAGTTTTCTCGGCCAGAGCGTGTTGAGGGAAACGCCTCACTAGTAGGTGAGGGGAAACGCCTCACTCGAAACTGTAGACTCGGCACACAGAGTAGTATAATAACATAGTAATACCTTTTTAATTCTGCGTCACCTAAGAATATACAAATATTATCTCTATATATTCGTAGTCTTTGACTCATTATCACACTGTCACTAGTTTGCTTGACATAAGAGCGTTTGATATGAAAGTGGTGCTCTTGAATGAACATTTGCATTTTGATGCACAGTGGTGGTAGTCTCAGAGCAGGTCCTCCAGTTATCGCAAGTGCGGTAAGTGTGATGTGAATGTTGCTGACTTCTGACTGACCCACTTCACCTCTGCTCCTCCACTCCGCACACTCTGCTGCCTCAAAACTGAGCTTGTCATCATGCAGTGGTGTTCTTTCTTCAAGACAAATTTAGCTTCCATGTAAATTATGAAGAATGTGTGCGAAAGAGCGAGGTGAAGACACTGCAAAAGAAAGACTGAGACAGTGACTGAGGATCACGTAACTCTTTTACATGTACTTTTTCATGCACAGAACGCAGCAGCTCAGAATCTAAGCAGTGAACCTTTTGTCTGTTCTTTGTTCAGATATTGCTTTGTATTTGTATTGTATGGTATATATTTAAATTGGACAGTGTCTATTAATGAACAACAGGAGCTGTAAACACACCAGATTGTATCTATGTAGCTCATTTCCATCCTTAGTCCCACAGTCACTCACAATCGCACACACATTTGTTTGTTAGCAACATTGATGGTGTTGTGGCAAATGAACGGCCTTTACAGATGGGTAGTTGTCACAGGTAAAAGGAAATTAGTCCTCTTCAGTTGATCTGTGTTTATTGCAGGTTAAATTATGAATGAGAGATTCTACCCAAAAGTGTAGTAAAATGGATTAGATCTGGCTCCACACCTGAATGAAAACATTTATTAAATATTGTTTTCTACAAAGGACATGGTATCTCAAGCATTACTTTACAAAAAAATGCTATATACATTACCATATGTTAAAGTACTGAAATATTAAGTTCTTTTTTTTTTTGTCTTCAGACACAACAAAATTAAGTCCCTCCGTCTGTGGGTTCTGTTATCAGTGGCTACAACCTGGCAACCACACAGTGAGAGTGCGTCCTAAGCAGAGGCCGTCAGCGCGAGTGCAGAGGGTATTGCAAAGGCAGGCTCAAGGAAAACCTCTGACTTTGGTGCAAAATGATCTGCTGCAGCAGTTTTACAAGACCTCCTCTTCTCTGGTGAGAAATGTCACACTGTAGTACACTGCAGCACTTCGGCTTCATACACAGACACCTCTGTACAGTTCATTAGGCATGATAGTGATCACAACTTTTCACATTTTCTATGTTGTTTTTGTGTGCAAAGATAGACAATGAAGATTAATGTAAGAAATAATTACAGCAACATTTTCACAAAAAATCTTTATTTTATTTTATTTTTGTCTCAATAACGTATCTCAACTATGTGACCAGTTTTTGTATAAAGAACATTTTAAAAAGTCTGAAAAAGGATTATTTAGATTTTCCAATGATTGAAATTGAATTGATTTGGCCTCTCAAATAGATATGTTCTTATAATCTTGATTTTTCCCTTTTTAGCAATTTAGTTTTAAACCCCACCATACAATATCAAGTGTTCTAGCACTCGTTTTATTTGTTGAGATTTATGAGGTCGTTTGCTTTCATTTCACTGAGAGGGCTTCACAGCTGCACTCATCATTGCACCTTTTACAGCGGTCCCATTAGGCTCGATTCAGCTTACTCCCTTCCACATGCCTGTACATGTCCTCCTAATGGCTCTCATCTAAGTGTCCACAAACCCAAAGCATGTGTTGGTCAGTCCTTCCACTCTTGATGAGCCTATTTAGACTGAACCGCTGCATTTGCGTCGTTTGGCGTCTGCATTCGTGAGTGGTGAAGAGGAGAGCTGCGGCGGAGCCTTTATGACCATCTGACATCAAGCTAATGAAGAGCAACTCGAGTGGAAATGCTTCTGCCACATTAACATCTGTCTGGGGTCATTTAGCAGACTGGTATTCAGCACACCGCAATGAACCTGACTGACTGTGGGTCGGGGGGGTGGGGGGAGTTAAACAAAAGAGAATGATACTTGTAATTCAGTGTATGATTTTATTTGTAGGCCTAGTTCATGCATTTGCAAAAAAACATGCATGTACAGGCTTTCTCCTCAGAAACCTTGACTGCATTACAGCTGCTTTTAAATGCCTGAAGCTTATGTTTATCTAACAAAACAAATAGGAAAGAAATAGCTCCCACTGTGTTATGTAACAGCTGAATTGTAGAGGTAAATCTCTGGAGACTTTGTGGAGTGGGTAGATCTCACAGGTAAGATATACTGTTGTTGTTTGTGGTGTGATTTTATCAAAGTGAAGTCTTGTTATTTTATTAACATTGGACTGAAATAATCCAAATAACCCTAACTAGGGATGTAAAAAACTATGAATTTTCATGACCGACCACCGAGCCTCATTAACCGGTTGAAACCGGTTAACCGCGTAGTTTAAAATAGTCCACGTTCTTTGAAATAACAGCCATTTCGAGCCGCGTACTTTTCATAAGAGCAGCTCTGCGTTCTACTGGATCAGAGCTGAGACAGCGGCGCCCAAACCCGCAACAGCTCCGGCACCTTTGCGCACAGAGAACTGCTTTTTTAATCTTCCCATTCTGCTGTGCTGCGGGTTAATACCAAAACTTTCTAGCAGCAAACGACGGCTCGTTCACATGGTCAGAGCAGCGAGTGACGCGTCTCACAGGTCTTCACAAAAGTTTAAATACAAGTGATGTGTGTGGAGCTGATCCCGAGGACCATAAACACAAACATGGTCCATATGGTTTGACTGGAGCTGCGTATTTGCGCGAATCCTTTGGGCTCCGTGACACAGAGGAGCGCGACAGACCGGTGTGTGTGTGTATGTGTGTGTGTATGTATATGTGTGTATGTAAATGTAAGCTCCAATGTAGTTCTGACCCGCGCCAGTGTGCAACTTTGGCGGTAACAGAGGGGAGAGATGATGCGTGTGGATGTTACGTATGGAGAGGGGGAAAGTGTGTGTGTGTGTGTGTGTGTGTGCGCGTGCGTGCGCGTGCGTGCGTGTGTGCATATGTGGCTCGTGCGGCGTGAGAGTCGTCCCGGAGTTTATAATACATGGGCGCACACAGCTAGAGACAGACCCGCTCGTCACACCGTGCAAATAGGGCTTGAAAAAGCGTTATTAAGAGACCTCCCCTCTCCCCTTTTTCTCTTTTTTAACCGACAGCTTTGACCGGTTAACGCTGTGACGGTCAACCACCGGTTAACCGGTCGCCGATTTACATCCCTAACCCTAACCAGTAATAACATCAAAGCAAACCTTCCACGTTAGGCTTCACGGAGCTAGTGCGTTGTCCATTTCTTTATGCAGTCTATGGTCACCCACAAGAATGTGGATAAGTCACATGACTTCCACTTTGTAAACTGATACTCCCTTTGGTTTACTTACTGCAATATTATTAGCTTCATGTTTTGATGGTCACTTCAGTTCACTTTCTTTACAGGCGATATTTAAAACCTACTCTTTTGATCATTTTCTGAGCCCATGCTGGTCACTGCACAACACAACTAGAATTTAGTTTGGACCTAAATATTGTTAACAAAATGAGTATTGTTATACAGATTTTTAATAGTGTGTACAACCTTTAACTTTAATTTACTATTTCCTTTATGCATACCTTTCCTTTTTCTGCCAGTATAACTATCAGAAGGCTGCAAAATCTTTTGTTTGTTTAAAAGTTTCTAAGGCCAACTTTTCTGGGATACAGTCCAGTGGTTCTTTTGTATAATGATGCCCTTTTCCATTCCAAAGTTTGACCATTTGCCAAGGGTTCTTTAGTGAAATATTTCAAATGTGTATCAAATTTTTAATGAAAAAGACTTGTATCTTATATTCAACTATATCATTTCCAAAAATGTTGCATGACTTTGACTGTGACATCAGTTTATAAGTGTTCAGTCTTGGGACGATGTGTGTCTGACTCTAAGAGAATGAATAACCGCTCTGCTTTGGGATGGAGCACAGACCTTAAATGGAGTGTGTCTGTCCTCCCCTGTTGTCCTTGCTCAGTTTTAGATTTCCCAGAAGACCCAGTTTTATCGTGATGATTGGAAATTTCAACTCTAATCGTAGTTTACTTGCTGAGTTTTTTTCTTTCTGATTGCTATTTGTTTATATTGGTTTGTGGTAATTGACATTTAGCCTCAGTGCTAATTTACACATCACGCGTTACAGCGCGTACGCGTTATACGCGCGTAACTTTTTTCCATGTTAACTTATGATGATATTTACACTTCTAGCGTTATACGCGCGTATGACGGACGTATGACGGACATATGACGCGAAGCTGCGCTCTAATTTAGGATGGATTTCTAATTTTGTGCGCGCACCAACGCGTCTCCCATTGAAATCTCATGTAAAACATGAATTTTCTAGTGGTCCTTGGCTCTAGATTGCATCTACACACACACAGCACTTGTGTCTAAACATCAGCAGGAGGAGCAGCAGGTTTTACAGTGATTCTGGACATCGTTTTTTTTCTTTCATAATGTCTCACGTCTGGCCAAACCAGCGCACAGAGACCATGAGGACAAACACATGCATGTGATTTGTGTTGCTCTACATCAGTCCTCTGGCCCGTACTGTCCTCTACACTGCTCCATAGACTACACAGGAAGAGCATCAGAAGACGCGGACCTGCGCGCACGGCCTGTGTAGATACTCCAAAAAAATGTTACGCGCAGAGAGCACGCAGTAAACGCGTACGCGCTGTTTACGCCTACTGTGTAAATTCCCTGTCAGTGACCAATGTGACGTCTCCACTCACTTCCTTTGGTTTGTATTATCTGGTCATCTCTTGACCAAAACATCAGTTTTTCATTGTTGGCTCAACTCAACAAAAGGCACTTGAATCCCTGCTGATGAACTATTCGCGTCTAATAATGACTATTGGAATTATTTCCTTAAATGTACATGTACATGTTCGTAATTTTCTATTTTAAAAGATTGCCTTGCCAGCGATTTTTTTCTTAATGTTTTTTCAATTTGAAAATGAGGCTTTACAGTATCGAACAATGGGCCAAACGAGACAAGAGAAAGGTGTAAATGGTGAACAATAATACCAACTAGCTACAGGAGTGTGTGTGTGTCTAAAAATAAAAAAGAAAGTTACAAGTTCCTTTGGTAAAAGATGTTAACATTGTGCAAACAGAAAAATGCAAACTTCAGAGGCATCAGGAGTGTCACGATCGTACACGCATCATCTCTAACCAAATATGAACCTCAAGTCTGGACAGTTTTTCCAGTCCTCACTCATTGCTCTGTCAGCACCTGTTAAATGGTTGGCATTTCCGCTTCACAAATGTGAGCCCTGTGGGCCTCGTCTCTGATTCTAATCACTGGTCCAGCAATAGATCTGTCACTATGAACATTGCAGAGGAACTAAAGATATGGAGCATTTATTTGTCATAAACTGCAATAGAATTCAGTATCTGATTGGATTGTGTTATAATAAATTAATATGCATACATAAAACAAAAGAAAACACCTATACCCTGTGGTAAGATGCCACAATATCATAAATGAAAGGCCGTGCTTTCCCAGACATCCCTTGTTGTAACTGTCATAATGTTACATTTCCACATACAGTCTGAGTTGCCCAACATTTGAATCGGCTGTACTCCCCGTCCTAGGTCAGCTGAACAGTGTGAGCCAAAGTTTAACATGGGGAGCAAAAAATTTAGATATTTAAAAATTATTGATATATTGAACAATAATCTTTTTTGACATCGCAATGTGACAAGGAAGCCTGGAAATTATTTTTCAGTTTTGCCATTGCAATGACATACACTTCCTACTCTGTGTTAATGGGAAAATTGAACTATCTCTCAAATTTACACCTCGGCCGCAAATTGTAGTTGTATTCACAAACTTTCCCATGTTGTTCAATGGAGACACACTCAATCCGTATCATTTTTCATCATTTGTTCTTTGACAAGAGTTGGGATAAAGATGGCACGTCAGCACAACCCTTTTTGGGCCTTTAGACGCCGCATGCGGCTTTCATTTGATTTGTTGCAATTATGAAGTGACCTAAGGAAGCACAATTTATTGATTAACGTGCTGATTTTGACATCCCTATTTGACTTTAGCAGTGTAATGTTTTCCTTTTCCCATGTTATGCTTTTGGTCTTCAAATGCCTTCCACTGTGCAAGTGTGGATCAGCCTCTGTTGGACAGGAGCCGACCGCTTTCACTTGGCCTCTGAGCGACACATTTATTTTTATTTTTTGCATTCCCCTATTGCTAGCATCTCAGTGTTTTTGTTCTTTCCAAACATGAGTTAATAAAAAATGTGACCGTCTGTACTGTATTATACAAGGCCATTTTTAGAAGAAGTTTATAGATCCACAAACTGGCTCTTTGGTATCTACTTTGGCCTCTGTGGTGCAGTATTGACATTATCTCAAATGACTGTCCCCTGAAGCGTCAATATGCATTTGCCTCCATCCGACTGGTCGGCAGAGTTGAAAATCTCATTGCTGTTTAAACGCTTATAAACTTCCCTGATTAAACTAGTTTGAATCATCTACCGTAAATTATTTCACTGGCCCCTCGTGCTTGGAGGTATCAAGCTGCAGAGGTCTGTTAATCAACTCCCCTGACCTCTGGTGGCCCAGTGTAAGGCTGGGTATTTATAGAACTTGTGCTAATAATAACCTGGTCAATTTGAATTGATTTCGGTTGCACTGTGTCCTGTCCAACAGGGACATGGATGTGTGTCATGCCTTTTGGCAAATTCATATTTATCGAATTTGTGTATTATTAGTTAAAACTTGATAAACTTTATAAACAAAATCATGCAAAATTTGTTTTGTACAAATCCTAGTGCAATTGTGATAGCTGGTGTTGAAACGCAATATCTTTTTCCAGTTTTCTTGTTGTCTTCTTTGGCCATTTATCCCTTCATCGCTCAATGGTTTTTGTTTGGTTTTCATTTTTGCATCCTTTGCTAACTAATATTGATTATTTTTACCACAGCTCCTTTGGCAGAAGAGAGATATTGGTTTTGCTAGAATTTGTTTGTTTGTTAGTGAACCTTATATCTCAAGGAATTGTAGTGGGATTTGCTCTAAACAATTGGACGAAACTGTGACGGCACAATGAACAAGGAATTAAACTTTGTAGGTGACTCATTAGCGCCCCCTACAGACTATTTCAAAGTTTTAGATGGGCATTTTCAAATTTAGTTTTTTCAAAATGTTTGAAATTTCGCACATAAATCTGTTTTGCCCTCTTGATTCAAAAAGTCAATAGGATCCAAGGCTTATTTTTTACCCTGTTGCCGTGGCGACGAGAAACGCTCCCCATTCATTGCAAATGTACACCTCACACAAACATCAAACCAGCCTCGGCCGTTTCACCGATTCGCCTCAAAATCGCTCCACATCATCTCAACACATGTACCATCGAAATGACTTCAGGGAATTTTGATCAGTGAAACGTTGTTTGAGCAGCGGAGCGCCAAAAAGTGGCGTATTTTTTTTCAGTTTTTTTCAGAAAAATTGCTTCCGTTTGCACAAACAAAGTGTGATTGGCACAACACTTGAATCCATGGTTTAACTCTTGGATCTAGGTCATTTGAAAGTTTACATTTTGCAATTGGCTTTATAGCGCCACCTACAACAGCCAATTTAAAAATGCCTATGGGATGGGTTCGAGGTCAAAATTGTCATAGAACCATGTAATTTGGTACACATGTTCCTCAAGTCAAGACATGGAAAAAATGTTATTATGGCTAATCCCTCAGACAAACAGGAAGCTCATAAATTTCATTGCAAAATGGAAAAATTAAAACCAATCATTTTCATACATGTCGCTTGGAAAGCGACTCCTCCTCGGCCGTTTCACCGATTGGCCTCAAAATTGCTCCAAATTATCTCAACACATGTACCTTCAAAATGACTTCAGGGAATTTTAATCAGTGAAACGTTGTTTGAGCAGCGGAGCGGCAAAATGTGAGGTTTTTTTTGGCCGTTTTTGCATAAACAAAGTCTGATTTGCATTAAACTTGAATCCATTGTTCAACTCCAGGGTTTAGGTCAGGTGAAAGTAAAATATTAGAAATTGGCTCATTAGCGCCCCCTACATACTGAAGCAAAGTTTACATTGGGAGCCAAACCAGCTCTACTTATCATATTCATTACAATTTGACTAACATTCTTCTATGACTACGGGAACAAGTCATCACACGGCGGTGCCACCTCCTTTGCGCGGTGCTGCGTAGTACGGTGTGGTGCAGCGTAGTGCGGGGCGTTGTGGAGCGGCGCGTTGCGGCTTGGTGTGATGCGGGACGGCGTGGTGTAGGGCGGGGTGGCTTGGTGCGGGGTGGCTTGGTGCGGGGCGGCGTGGCACGGGGTGGTGCGGGGAGTGCGCGCGGTGCGGCGAGGGCCGTTCGACGCCGCTTGCGGCTTTAATTATTCTTTGTTTTTTCCGGTCATATAGAAAAAGAAACAATGACAATTTATAGAGCACCTAAATACTGCCGTGACATTGGTCTGAAATAGCTTTTTGTTGATGGCCCTAATATTCCTGCAGTTGTTTATAGGTTGGTTTTGATCCACCGAATATCCAAAAGCCATATGTGTTTCTGATCCAAGCTTAGACCTGTCAGCAGTCAGACTCAGAGCCACAATGAGAAATCGGATCCACTACTGACGGCTCACGTGTGCTCACATCTACTACATATTTGGGAATTAGTGTCAATTAAACAGATGGTGCTTGGATTACATTCTGTGTCATTAGCTTTTTTAATACTTGTTGTTTTTCCAAATTTGTACATGTATAACGGTCTCTTGTAACTGAAGGACGATGAATAACCGTAGATCATTCTCGTTGTAAACATCTCCAGTTTACTGTCTTTTTCTGGACTTGTCGAGTGATGTTTTTGTAGTTTTATCATGAGCCATTCATAACTGGGCTATTCCTAGCGATCATAACATTCATGTGTAAATATAGTATAGGGACGAGTCAGGATCTATTGACCAGTACAACAAAAGAATCACTTTAATACAACTTCTGTACAAATGACAACCAGTGATTTTGTAAAGAACAATGAAAAAAACAAAAGTGTTACAGCACAATTAATAAAGCACAGACTGTTGTTAATGATTTGATCTTTGTTTATTTATGCATAGATTTCAAGAGTACATTCTTTGGTATCATTAGTTATGCATCAATACTAATCATTCGTGTTCATGTATAACTATACTAATCTATGTAGGATTTTACATTGATGCTTTTTTCAGCTACATGTTAAATAAAAGCAGTATGTTGGGAGATTTATTGCTTGGGCTTTCACTCTACATTAGTCTTGTGGTTGCCACGCCCCTGAGCCTCATGGGAGGGCCATCAGTTTGTTATAAATATGGACATGCAGACTCCGACAGTAAACATTTGACTCGGCGTCCAACAGTCTCTGGTCTTCCCTGGTCCTGTCACAAACTTAAATGGCTGCTTTTGTGTCGGTGAGTTTTCCACATCAGCATTCAGGACTATTTTCCACTTTCGCCTTTTTTTATTCTGCTCAGGGTTTGTCTGGTTTGTTAGATTTTCGTCAGTGAATAGTTTGGATGCAAACTTTTACATGGCTTTTTGTTTGCAACAGTTAACTGTGCAATTGTGCCATTATAAAGTGTTTATTTTGTTTACCAAGTCACCATATCCATGTTTGCACCCAGATTGGATTATTGAAAGTGTGTAATCGTATTGGTTTGAACTGTTTGTTTCTGATTGAAAACTTTCATCTTGATGAGTCTGCTTCATTCTCACATTGTGGCAGATTTTATGTGTGATTTTAGGATGCTTTTTATGAGACAATTAATCCCAGTTGTCTGTCTTGGTAGACATTTGTTAAAAGTGAAATGTGATTCTTCATTTCCAAAATAACCCATTCTTGATACCAGTGAGATACTAACACTGCCAATACAATATTAACGATTCTCCGCTCCCTTATATTTCCTAGATGGCCACCTGTCACACTTGCAATAGGACGTCCAGACACAAAGGAATGGGCAGAGAGTTCATTATGACATTATCAAGAACTCCCAGCACCCCAGGGAGCAGTGGAAAGCACAAGACACCCCAAACGGGGAGGAGATCCAGCACAACTACCCCTAAGACTGGGGGGAAAGACAGAACTCCTGTTAACACACCAAGGTAAGTGCAACTGTTAACATACAATCTCATATTTATAATGTTTGGAATGGCTTGAATTCATGCCAGATCGTATGCATGTTCTCATAGACATTCTTTTGTTTGAATCGCCGCATCATCTTGCTCTCTGTTTCCATCTGTTTCCGTCCTAGGGCTTCTATCTCATCTACAACTCCAAGCTCTGGATCAACTTCCTCTAAATCTCCAGCAATGAAAGGAAAAAACTGGGCTGTGCAATGTCTGAGCAAAATACTATTACGGGAAGAGAACCCAGGAAAAAAGAAAGGCGGATTGAAGGATTTCCTCTCCTCTCTTTGAATCTGAAATGATCAGTAACTGGACTGGGAGGTGAATTGCGTTACTCCAATGGCAACTTGGGACTTTAAAATGTATATTCCCTCACAGTATTTCCCCAGGGATCCTGTTCTGGTAATGCACTATTGCAGTTTGAATATAACTTTTTTTGATCAATTAAAGAGCCATATTTCAATTTTTTGGTGCAACACTGTTTTAACAGATTTGTCCAAATCCCACAGAGAACACAGATGTTTAGATTTTCTTGTATTTTGACATTTTGCTATTGATGCATTTGTTGTAATATAGCTTGTATTGAATAAGTAAATGTTTACATATGTCAGGCATTTCTGCTGTGAATTTGTTGCCTTTTTGTTGATGACAAATGACTGACAAAATAAACTATACTTTTTATATACAAATTATATATATATCACACCGTATATATTTCTATTGGTTGTTTTTTGTATTTTCTTTATTGTAATTTGTTATTTTTGTTTCTTATTCAAATCTGTAATTTCTTTGTTTTTTTGAATGACATGTTTGTATCCTGAAGCCTACCTCACACAATTGTGCTGTCTGCACACACATTTTGTCAAAATACAGTACTCCTTTCTATACCGAGACTTGTTTTTTTTTTTTTTTCAGAACCCAGATAAAATGATTGAATTAATTCTTTATTGTCAAAAGAAATGTATCTTGAACCATAAAAGAATTGAGACCATAAAGAATTGACCATGAGAGGTCATATAAACACATAAATATGTGGGTTCAAGATATCCAATGTTAAGTAAGTAATCTTTATTTATATACCGCCTTTCACAGACCAGAGTCACAAAGCGGTTTACAATTGTTATTTTTGGGCATTTTGTCCTCTCACTCCACTAAGAGATGGGAGCGGGGTCGCCAGTACAGGAGGAGCATGCCAGTCCTATTGTACATGTTTTTAGTGGTAGGGGAAACCGGAGTACTCGGAGGAAATCTACGCAGACACGGGGAGAACATGTAAACTCCACTCAGAAAGGCCCTGGCAAGACCGGGATTTAAACTCTTGCTGAGAGGCGAGAGTGCTATCCACTCAGCCACTGTGCTGCCCAATATTAAATTGGAATACAGTATTTGACAGCCATTTGTAGCCTGCTCCATTGGTGGTAAAATCTTTGGCCCTTGTTGAAAAAGGTTTTGACTTGACTTTTTCTGTTTGTGATACTCTCTGTGGCCTGAAGGTGTCGCTGGAATGTAATCCACGCGCACACGGAGCACACACAGGAAGTGCTGCAGTGGAGCTAGAGCTAACTGGGCTAGCAGCAAAACATTTTGGGATTTTAAATGCTGTAATTTTCAGTCACCGAAAGCTTCTGAAAACACGTTTCAATTTTATCATCGCAAAAATGTCTAACAGAAAGCGAGCACGGGAAAAGGATGACAGGAGAGAGCATAAAAAACACAAAACGTCCAAGGAGGATTTGGAACTACTTCAGATGCAGACGAAAAAACTTACTCAAGAGGTCCAAAAGCTGAAACACGTGGAGACTTTGTGAGTACATGTTTGATCATCATGTTGGTTTTATTTCATACAGTAATGATATTTAACACACTTCTGTTTTACGCACATTTGAATACACAGTTATGAACAGCCACCACCAGGATACATCAAGGTAATGTTTCTGTTTATCACTTTGTCTGCATCACATTAACAATCATGTATAATGGTGTTCACATGCATTTGGCCGGGGTTTGTTGTAGGAGCATGAAGAAAAGCCAGAGGACTGTATTCCTGCAGAGCCTGGAAATGAAGACGCCAGACAGTTCCTGGCTCACGCCCCAACCAAAGGACTGTGGATGCCCCTGGGGAAAGAGGTCAAAGTGATGCAGTGTAAGTGACACCACATGGGGCCTGTCCGTGTATGATGACGTTTGCCATGGACTGACATCACAGTTCTACTTTGTTGTGTTTATCAATTGTGTGCAAAGGCGTCAGAAGTACACGTTTTAAGTTCTTTAAGGTGTATATAGTCGGATTATCCCAATTTTTAGAAAAGAACCACCTCTCCACTCTTTGAACAAACCTTTCTGGTCTTATTTGACGAGCACGTATCAGCAGAATTATTGACAATTGGGAGGATCAAATCTTGATGATCCTTGAAAATCCTTTTATTTACCTTTAAGTAAATGTATAGATCTGCTATTCAATTCCATTTAGTTTTTTAAATGTTGTAAATCACAACAGCAATTGTCTCAAAAGACCTGACAAGATTTTTGTTTTGCCACTGACGGATTAGAACATAACTGCAATAATAAACTCATAAGCGCTGTCGTAGATTAACCACACAGAGACGGATCACATAGCTATCTATCCACGATAGTGCCATTATAGGATGACCAATTTCAATAGGAACTCAGAAGATTCATAGTAATATTGTGACGTAAGTAAGTTGTGACGTAAGTATAGAAGTATAGTCTTTTTGCTTAAACAATACTATGCATTTTTGTTGAATAATTAATATGTGGTCTAAGTCAAAGTATGGCTAACCACAATTACTTCACTTATTTACTTTTTTGTTGTGTTTTATTCAAAGTAACTAAACCTTTTTTTAAATTTAAGGAGTAGAAGATGTTTTGTCGTAAAAGTAAAAAGTTGTTTGAAAAGTAAGTAGTAAAGGTACCAGGATAAACTACCTAATTACTGTAATTAGTTACTTGCAACCTCTGTTGGTAGTGATCTTGATGGGTTTTTTTTCTATTTTTAACCCAATCCATCACAATATTTTCATTTTTCACATTCAGGCTGGAGATGCAAGAACTACGGCCACAGAACAGGTGACAGAGAGTGCCCTTTCTTCACTAAAGGCAACCAGAAAATAGAGCAATTCAGAGTGGTGAGTATTTTTCATTTGTGAACACTTGGACAACCACGTTTTTTAAATGTAGTTTATTGTAATGTAGTTATATGGCTATTGTATTTATTATTGGTGATAAATTCTTTCATGTGTCTAAGGCTCATGAGGATCCTATGTATGACCTGATCCGAGAAAACCAAAGAAACGAAAAAGAAACAAGGTTTGTCTGGTCTTTGTTTTTCTCTGATTTGTTTTAAATGTCAAACTGGCATTTTGTCAAATTAAAACACTGAGTTGGGTCACAGATGTATTTTACTGCAGGTGCGTAGCACAATCTATTCTGACCTGGAAATTCTCATGCAGCAGTTGGCTCTTTCTGCAGCTCATAGCACTTTGCACCATCTACTTTACTAATCCTTGCATGGAGAGGAAGTACACACATTCACACACGTCTCCTGTGTGTTTTAGCATGAATTACTAAAAAGGTTACCCAAAGGCCACCAGCTTTTTGATGTCTGCTTGGTTTAGTCTTGTGTTCATTATAGCCACATTTCAACGTCCTAAATAATACTGAATAACTAAACACAGAGCATACACAGAAAGATAAGACACTAATTGTTTCCATAAATTATTATGTATTGTCTTTTTATTTATTTTGTGTCCAAATGCTTTTGATTTTTGTTTTGCATTTTAAATCTTTGTTATATAGTTTGTTGGAGGAACTTGTGAAAGCCACTTGACTTGTTGCCTTCCAAGTAACTCAAAACCTGCATAACCACTTTTTTTTATTGTGTCTTATTATTATGTATTATTGTGTATTTGTTATTATTGTCTCTTAGAATTCAACAGCTTCAGCAGCTGCTCCAAGACACCACCTCCTCTTCATCTGATTCAGAGAGTTCCTCTTCCTCACATAAGCATCGCAGCAAGAAGAAAAAGGACAAGAAAAAGAAGAACAAGAAGGACAAGAAAAAGAAGCGAAAGCACAAATCCTCCAAATCCAGCGAAGGCTCTCATTCAGACTGACACTTGGAGGCACGCTCTACTGTAATGTGTCTCGGTAACAGGTTAATAATGCATAAGGAAACAAGTTTGTTCTGTGTAGTGCACTAGAAACTAGTGCACTTAAGAGACCTCTCATGTAAATCAACTCTGCATGCTCATTTATCAAATTACTGCATTTAAGACTTCTGGGAAACTAGAGTATGCACTTGTCTGTGCATATGCATGTCATGTCTTAAAGGTCATGTGTGTTAACAGACTCATTGGTGATAGATTCTTTCACCATGGTTTAAAAAGCTAGTCGTTTACCCTATTTGAACGTAGGAGATTCCTTTAAGAAGAAACAGGACTTTCTCTCCAGCTTTGAATGTTAAACTGTGACTGTGTATAAATATAATTTGAGTTCTGTGTATCTGCTTTAGTCCAAGCCACAGAGAAGAGCCAAGAATGTAAAAACAAAACACTTCCAACTATTACAGTTTTTCCTATTTTTCTTATATTTATTATAGTTTTATTGCTTAGTCCTTTATGGTCTATAAAGTTACCTTTTTCTGTTATTGATTGTAATATGTATTGTTCTTTTTGTTCTTCTGTCTGAAAAGACAGCACCCAAAACGTTAATAGTTAAAGTTGAATATTGGTAATGCCAACGGCATGTGAAAGCCTGATCTTGACATTCCTTCAGGAGCTATGCAGGCGGTGCTTGATAATACTATGATGGGAGACCTCTGGGAACACCAGGTGCCACGGTTAGGTGTGTGTCAAGTGCCAAACTGCCATTGTGTCAATGTCTCGTATGAGTCTAGTTGGTTTGTTGGTGGTGGAAGGGTTGGTCTTTGAGTTTCCAAATACTGCCGCTATATGGAACGGATGCATTAGTTAGTGCAATCCAAATAACTTGTTACATAAATTGTCTTGATATTTAAAACTGAAACTATGACCTTTTGGTAGAGCTAGGGATATAACAACATTTACGTGTGGAGTTATTATATGGATTAAGTTGGTAAAAAGCCATTAGGTGTGAGAGTGGAGACAGGAATGCTTTTATGCCATTTTTTCTGATTACATATGGAAAACTACAATAATTATTCTAAAGTGCATTACGTTTATAATCTTTCAGTTAAAATGATAGAGCTCCAAGATGAAGCTCAGAGCCACCAAATGCAAAGAAGGTCAGTGGAGAATCTTGAATACATCTGGCGACACCACCAGGTGGGAGTATGGAGAAGGACAAAGCAAAGAGCAAACCGTAGTTGACAGATTTTGATGAGAACGAATCAACCAAAAGTGACTTTTCAGAGTCACACATTAAATTTTGGGTTGCATTGCAGAGGGAGGTTAATTTTTTGCCTGGTGTAGAAATGAGGCCCACTGCCCTTACTCAAAGCAGAAGTACCAATATATTCTTGAAGAGCTTCATTGTTATATGAATTAATCTTCAACTTGAGTCCAATATTTGTACTAAATCAAGTCCCTTTATGTCCTTTGAGTATTTTCCTTTATTTTGTTCAATCCATCTGTGCAGCCATATAAAGAAATTTGGCTGAGTGGGCAGGCTGTTGTGTAAATAGGCAGCTCTTTGGTGCTACAGAGAGTGAGAGATGGATTGAGGCTGTGCGTGAGACCAGATTATTTCAACAGGATGGACGGATGGGGTTCCTGCATTAATCCTCCTCCTGCTGCTCATGCTGTGTGGAGACGAGATGAGCTGCGGGACTGTCTGCTGCAAGTCAACATGGGCATTGTTGCTTCAATAAAAAGACATTAACTCTGTAGGCCATATTAGAGGACTGAAGTCATAACCAGGCAGAATACATGTACACAGTGAAGACTGAATGGACATAAGCCTGAAATAATTCATAATGTTTTCTATATTAAGGAGAATAACCCCTTGGGATGTGCAACCTTGTTTTTGAGGGGTTCACAGGTTTACAGAACTAATAAAGCAGACTTGTGACACAGTAGACACATAATACATAAATAAAAGCATAGGTTAAAACAAACACTCAGTTTTATCAAATGCACTTCTTATAACTATTGAAATCTGAAATGTATATGTCATTGTCTTGTCTTCTGCTTAAATTATTAATTTCTTCACTTGTCTGTTCTGTCTGCTCTGCTTTTCTACCTTGAATTTGCTATTTTATTGTCTGTTTATTATAGTAATAATACCTGTGTTTTGTTTCCTATAGTGCTTTTGAGGACACTCAAAGGCATTTGTCATTTACTCAATACATAGTGGTGGAAAACTACTGTATATAGCCACAGCTGCCCTGGGAGATGGACTGATGCAAGCAATACTGCTAATCTGTGCCAATCATTTAGACACATACCAGACTACACCATACTCTGCAATGTGGGTGACGTGTCTTGCCCAAGGACCCAACAACAGTGCAACGCCTTACAGCCTCAGCTGTGGCACCTGCTGGTCCCAGCAGCCTCCCATCACTCATCATAATATGCTCATTGTGCACCAATTTAACTTGTGTCTTTTTTCACATTGTAATGTATTTATTCAATGTGATACAAACGTTATATTTTGTATCACTTGCAAGTCCAATAGGAGGGTTAGGCTGGTCTCTGCAAAGCAAGCCATATGTCTGATGCCAATAACTATGAATAATTCATACTTTTTTTTTTTGCCTCGCTATTCCGGATGGTGGAAAGTCAATATATTGTCCCGTATAGTTAATCATGGCCAGTGTATTTGTTTAAAAGATAAGACGAGTATGTGTTTTAAATTAGTGTTATTAGAAAAATTACTTCATGGAGTGTATGGAAGTTACTTTTCACTATCTCTGCTTCTCTTTCACTATACAGCTATACTTTTTGTTTTTGTTGATGTTGTATTTTAATATACAACCACTTATATAAAACTCTCGTTAGAAGACACACTAATTTTGTCCATAATTGTATAAAAGAAAGGACAAAAAACAGAAAAAAGTCCTTCATATTTAGGAAGTTTTCATCTGTTAAATGAAAATACATACACAGAAAGATAAGACACTAAGGCAAGTCACAACAACACACATTTTAAGAAATCATCACATTATATCTTTTGATGAGTGTTTTCTTTTTTTTTTTTTAAGTAGTGTTAGGGAAGCCAAAATAAGCTCTGAGTTCAATTCCAAACCCTCCATGTGTGCAGACTGGACCTGACCACTGCTGCTGTGCTCCTGGACAGACCACTTTAGGACCCGGGCGGTCAGGGCGTGCGCAGCCATGGCCCTACCCCACACCAGCTCCCGCATGTGTCCTCTCTTTGTGGCATCACCGAGGCAGACGCGAGAGCAAAGACGGAAGTGAGACAACCATCCGCGGGGTTCTCCAGGGGGGGGGGGACGCAGAAACACCGCTGGCTGACGGGACTGGCACCAAACAACTCCGGACACAGGCTCACGCGCACACCGGACCCAGAAGCGTCACGTTTACGGCAGGTTCGCAACACACACACACACACACACACACACACACACACACACACACATACATACATACATACACACAGGCGCGCGCGTTCTGGTGCTGCTGTTGTTTTGGTCCGCTGGCACACTTACTTACTTACCTCGCCTTTAGTGTGTTCCCTCTTGAATCGGAGGCAGTGGCAGCGCTTGCATATTGTCACTGCAGCGAAAGCAAACACGTAGCTTTCTCTTCGTTTGGCAATGAGGCTATTTTTTATTTTTTATTTTTTTCTTGACTTGACTGAGTGGGATTGACTGGATACCGTAGTGAAGCAGCAGTGATAACACATCGCTGCGTACTAGTTCTCCAAGTCAGGACTGCGCTTTGGCTGTGGAGGACTCTGCTGCGGCTGTGGTAAAGAAGCGTATTTTTTTTATTTATTTTTATGGATTTGTTTATGTTATTGCATTTTGTCACCGCACCACCAATCCCACCTCGCCTATAGCCGCATCGCCTCGGGTCCGTGTTCTTCCATATAGCTAATTATACACGGTGCTTTATCCAACTTATTTAGCCCAGCTCATTCTCTCACTTCTTACCTTCACCGTCAGCCAAGATGGAAAGGAGATTTTGAGTGATCGCTTATGGCTAACTTGATTTGAGCTTGTGGGCATAACTTCTGCACCATGTAAGCGGTGACTTGAGCATCCTTCATGTACAGGAAGTAAGTATTTCCTTATGTCATATTGCTGCCACAGTCACCAAGGTTTGGCTTGCCCACTGTGTACTCCCTGTATGCCTACTTTGTTGTTCCTATATTAAGTCACTACGATATATTTCCAGCTTTCTCTTAGATCACTCTGCATCTGAATTCAATCATCCGAGCTATCAGAGCAACAAACTGCTTGGGCATAGGGCAGGAATGCTGCTGTGGTGACTATTCTATCCTATAAGTTACTTTTTGAGATCAAGTGAAGCCTTCTCCACGAGCAGTCTGTTGTGGTTGACAGTTCAGGTGATTCTGGTCTTATATGATTGATAATTGGATTTTTCACAGCATAATATTTTGTTATTTTTAACCTTTTTACTGTTTTAACATATGGTGCTTTGGTGCAATTAAAGATGCATGCTTGGAATTGCTAGTGACTATAGCTCCTGTATATTTGGGGTTAGGAGAACCAACTCAATGTAAGAATTCATATTTTTGAGCAGTGAAACGATTGCGCTGCATTTGAGGCAGCTGGGAAGTTGAATAATACAAGTTCCCACTTCATCGTGTCCCAGCTAACGAACCAAATGTTCAACTAATTATTGTATCTTAATAAAATGGATTGTACTGTTAACATAAGCCAATGGGCCCTAAAACTCCTCAGATTTCACAGTCACTGACCTTTAGGCAATATTCTTTTGCTTTTAATGTCACAGTTGAACTTGTATATGAAGTGAGAGCATTTCAATACCCATTTGAGTGTTGTTTTGTGGCATTTTTTTTCTTTTCTTTTCTTTTTTTACAGAGGTTCATTTCATGCAAAGAAACAACATCTAAATGTATCAAACAGGTACCATCATAAAAGGTTACAATTCTTTCAATACAACTTCTTTGTCCCTCTTCAATATCT